GATAATAAAAACGAAAGAAAGGGAAAAAAAAAAAAAAAAAAAAAAAAAAAAAAAAAAGGGAAAAGAAACCAAACAAAAACTCCCCCATTCAGTGAATTATTATCTGTTTCCCCTCCCATAAAAGTTCCAAGACGTGCCTCACATTCTGCCCCCATGTAACAGCTTTCACTTAACGTCTCCGCACTGCTGGCAGAATCAATGACTCGCAGGTGATTTTTGCTTTTGGCCCCTGACTGACATTCCCTCAATTGCCTGGTCTACTAGCCGGGAAAAGGGACAAGCAAGCAGAGACATGATTGCAGGGCGGCGTGGGCCCTGCCCTGTCAGAATAATTAATTTTCTTTCCTCAAGTTAACCTGCAGCGATGATGTTAATAATGCTTTGTGGGTGTGGTCAATACTCGATAGACTCCCAAATTCTACTGCTAGGCTAAAGCATACTGTATAGTATGTAGTAATTGGATGACGGGGACATCGACCAGCCGTCATGCATCATCGGTCAAGGAGTTTCGGATTGATGAGGGTTATGAGAAGCGTAGCTTCAGAGTCTGGATCTTGGGCCGAACCGTCGCACCAAGGTCGAAGTTTCCACAGTTTCTGGAACGTCGACTAAGCTTCCCTTCTCCTTTTTCTTTTCTTTTCTTTCCCCCCCCCCTCTTTTTACCCTTTTTCCATTTGCCAGCCTTTGCTTCCCCACCGTCCACTCTTTTCCCTTTCCCGTTTTGTCTCTCTCATTTTTGCCCCCTTGGGTCTAGTCCCTTTAGGACGGGGGGTTTGCAAGTCTGGGCAGCACCAAGTCGGCTTTCGGAAAACACGGGATATGTCAATCCATTGACGAAAGGCCTGCCTGTCTGTCCTTCTGGTCGAAGATCCCTGCATGACATTAATGACGGGTTACTTTGGCTGAGCGAGTCAGAAGGCAGCGTGGATTGACAGAGATGGTACCGAGCTTTGTCCTTTTCGTCTTTTCATCATCTCATCACTGAATTTCCATTGAGCATTGAATCGGACACTCACGTCGGCAGATCATCTGTTCCACCCGCTCACACACGACAAGGATTCTCGTCCTTTCGCTTTCGGCCTTTCCGTTTGGCTGGAGCCCAGCTCGAGCCCAGGCCAAGAAGAAGGTAGAGGTAGGCAACCAAGCAAAGAAGAATTGTACACTAAATACGGAGTGGTAATGCTGATGCTGACTGCATACAGTCCATCTTCTTTGACCACGGGTAAGCAAGACTAGGCCGTAAGTAACCGCGGTCCCAGTCGGTCGGTCAGCGACTGGTGATGATGGTTGGCTGAAGGTGGAACAGTCAGCATCCGCCGCCGCCGTCACTTCCAGCAAAACCCTCAGCTTGTAAGCCGTAAATCCGTCTAATCCTGGTCGATTGGCATGAATGACTGCATGACTGCATGATTGCATGAGGCTAATAGTCCATAAGGTACTCCAAGCCTCCAAGCCTTCAAGCCTCCCAAGCCTCCCAAGCCTCGAAGGAAACTGTTCAACGAGAGTGCATGGATCAGTCTGCAACTGATTGGTTAGTTCGTCTCTGAGCCTCATCTTTTTTTTTCCGAGGCAGAGCACATCCTACGGTAAGTAAGATGGATGACACCTGGAAAGGTCAAATCCTTAATCCTAATCCTAAGGTAAGGCATTCCGGCGAGAAGGTCCAGAACTTTCGGCGAGCAACAATCCACGGGCGATCAAAGGTGATTACACATATGAGTCTTAGCTGGCCAGGTCACTTGACCCAGCCTGGTGATCTGGTGATCATGTGCAACCACTCTTTGAGGGACAATTCTCCGTAGCAGTGTTCCATGGACTGGATGCTTGTACAGTGCTACAGTACCTGGACGGTGATGGTAGTCCATGCTTCGGCTGGATGTCACAATCGCAATCCCTCATTCCCGACCAGTTCCAGAACAATCAATTTCTGGACCTCGGAGGGTCTCCACCCTCCCGATTTGAATTTTGACAAACAAGATATCATATCTACATACCTTGCCACATCATCCCGGCATTCCGCATCTCTCCCTTTTTCTTTCCTCTATGTGAGCGAGTGATTTTAAGCTCTCACGCAATTCGGCAAGCCTAACCGTTCGAGATCAGGGTCGGTCAGGGCACAGGGTAAGTGACAGGGTAAAGGGTACAGGGTACATGGTACATAGCTGCATTGTTATCAGGAACATAACATCCTTTGTCCATGTCACCTCACTCTCCACCACCCGACTCTTCTAGTTTTGACAAGATCGCCGTCGTCGTACGATGTAAATCGATTAATATCAAATGAAATCAGTTAATCAATCAACCGATCCCCCCCCAGCGCAATTGCTTCGCGAAGGGGAAATGAACAAGGAAAAAAAATCATGGCTAATTAATCTCGACTCCCAACGGCCCAGCTCAGTAAGATTTCCGTTTCAGGATAATGCAGATAGGGTCAATTTCCGCATCCCGACTTCCGTCCTCCGTCTAAATTGTTGCTGTTCACAGTTACTATGAGTGGCTACTACGGAGGACATAGATCGTAGTCGAGTCGAGTCAACTTAAGCGACCGGGATGACTCTTGAGCCTTCAGGTTGGGCCCCGTCAGTTCCTGGCTTGCTGCTGGCCCGAATCGGTTTCACCAGTGGAGGGCAAAAGAGCGGGGACCCAGATAGACAAGACAAGACAGACAGACAGGGCAGACAGACCCTTGTTGTTAATTTGGGCTCCATTCCTTTTTGTTCTGGTCTGTTTTTCCGCCCTTCGACGGGCGCTGAGCATGTCTTTTTTTTTTTTTTCCCGTTGACTACTATCACGGGTGGTAATGTCTCTACACAGTATGTACATTGCCGCGTGTTTGGCCTTGCTGTCCTCATATGAGTACAACCCCTCCCATAGTACTACGGAGTACGGAGGACCCGACCCAGAAGACAAGGCGAAAGCAAGCGCATGCTTTCGACCCCTCGCAACATCTAGTTTGCTTCTCCATAACTCGATACACTAGCGAAGAGCGAGAGCTCGAGCTTATCGAGGATTTTAAGTCTCTCGAACTCTTTACATGTGGCAGGCAGTCTTTTCTACCGCGCGCGGGTATATCCACAATATCTTCGAGACTAAAGATTCAGGCCCCATCAGAGGAGAAAGAAAAAATTATCTCCCGAGTTCCTGAAACCCCGGCCGAACTTTTTTGTTTGTGGTTCTGTCCCTGTCTTGAATGCCCCCCTCTCACCCTCTCCCTCCCTGTCTCGCTTTTTCTTACTCCTTCCCGTCTTGGTGGGTGGTCATGTGATATACATTGTAGATGTCGGAGGGAGCTTGGGGATAGATAGATGACTAGTAAGTTGAATGGCATCTCTGGTCGGTGAACGGACTACAGGTAATAATGAGTGAGGCTGGTCCAACACGGAAAACCGTTTTTTCGCGACTCTCTTACTCAGATCTTAGGGACCTACTAACTAGCGGCAGTCTATTCATTGCACCGACCCTTCCTGGTCGTTTGAGACGTTATCCATGACATCCAATCCTTGTAGCAGCAGCAGTTGTCGCTGCTTCCCTTTGTATGAAGGAAAACTAACGGGTTGGGCGGAATCCGCCCGGTCTAGATCACCCGTGCAAATCATTCTGTTCACCTGACCTTCCCGGAACTTATACTTCTGGTCTAGAAGCTATTGCGCTTCTAGTCCCGATGCAGGCTGCTGGTGAACGGTGCATCAGGATCTTCATGGGTGCGTGACCTTCGGCGATCTTGTTCGGTTGCACTACTGCTCGGTCGGGAGGAAGAGGAGGGAGGAACTAGACTAGACTGATTGTGTTTTGTCTTGTCTGTCTGTCTCGTGTTGGGGCGGGCAGAGTTGAACTAGCTGAGACTCTTGTGCCAAAAAAAAAATAGGTCGCCGAATTCGCCGGACGCGGAGTCCACTGTTTGAGCGTGAAACCCGTAACGAACGGTCGCAGGGGGGTTGTTTATTTTGAGGTGAACGACTCAGAATCAAATCACGTTTTCCACCGTTCAAACCCGTTCGTGTCGGCAATTATTCATCTCGCTGGATCGAAGATCAATCTCCCCCCCTCCTCTCCCCTCCGATCGACATGGGGCAGGGCTCCGCGTTGGAGGGGAAAAATAAGGGGAGGTTTCGAGTCGCAGATTTTCTCTTCTGACACTAAGGCTGCAACGCGACGCCTCGTCAGGCGTTCAACAGGGAGCGAAGCACGAGCCATACACCCAGAAGCCCAACCACCGTGGCCACCAACACCCCGTTGCCCTCCCAGGTCAGCCCGAGATACGCGACACAGCCCACCACCAGCTCCTTCCGCCGCGCCGCATCTCGTCTACGCGCCCAGTCTGGGTCGATCGGGAACGGGGCCGCCGGCCGTTGGGCCAGCGCATCTGCTGGTCGCATTGGCCGGGTCGGGACGGAGACCGCGAGCGCGACGGCACGATGGTCAGAGGTTGGAAACAACGGCAGCGCATCGTAGCGCAACGGCCGGACGGGCTGTCCAGCCTGGTCCAGGTACAGCACACGGTCACACCAACTGGGCCAGCGGGTCCCCGTCCACTGCCAATCCTGCGACAATGCGTGATCACCGCCCACCGCTTTACTCACGGCGTGGCGTGCCGCCAGGCTGTACTTGTACGTCGGAGGAAAGCTGATCGGCGCCTCCGACAGTCCCTGAAAGCACCGCGACTGGGCCCTCTCCCGACTCAGCTGATCCTCCTGGAGCAGATGCGAGTAATGGCGCGGGTCCGACGTCTCTACATCCACCCGGGGGAATCTGCTCGTCCGATCGCCCGGTTTCGGCGGTCGGTCGGCCGTCCGGTAATTGAGGTCTCCTGCCAGAAAGAGGTAACTCGTAGGGACGTAGATGCCCCGGCGATCGTGCTGCTGCTGCTGCTGCTGTTGTTGCCCGACCGGCGAAGCCGCTGCTGCAGAGCGCTCTTGGAGCAGGGGTGCGCTTTCCGATGCGTTTTCTTCGGTCTCGACAGGTTCCCGACCCGCGACGGCGGCACGACTATCCTGACGTTCAAAGACCAGCCGTTCGACCAGACTGCGCCAATCCGCATTCCTGCGCTCAACCGCCCATTCCATCGGCGCGAGATGCGCTGCCACGAATGTCAGCTCTACGGGTTGTTGTGTTTCTTCAGCTCCTCCTTCCCCGTCCCGCCGGGATGATGATGATGATGATGGTGGTAGCAGGTATCCGAGTCGCGCCCCCACGGCACCCTTGTTGCCCATCTCCTGGAACCCAAAGCCTATCCGGGCCGTCTCGAGCCAGGCTATTTGCTCTGCCACGTCGGACCGGGCAAACACCATCAATCCCGTCATCCCGGAGTTGTCCGTCACGATATTGACGTAATGCACATCATCCCAGCGCTGCGCGACCGCGCGATTCACAACCTGGCTCAGCGTGTCGAAGTACGGTGTCAGGAATGAACCCCCGAGGAAGGCGTACGCGATCGGCGCGATCTCTTGTAGCGAGAGTACGATAAGGTCGGGGGGAGGGACAGATGAGGAGGAGGCGTTGAGATTGTCGGTGAGCGGAAGGGAGTCGAAGAAGTGGTGGGAGAATCGATCGACGTCCACGAGATTTCGAGCGCAGTTGAAGGTGAGAATGTAGAGGTTAAGTGCGTCCATGGCTGGTCCGAAATGTGGAATGTTAGTGTTGGTGTTGGTGTTGACTTAACGTTGTCGTGATGGAGGTTGCGTATGATTGACAGACACCATGAGAGGGAAGTGGAGGGTGAATGTGGGGAGTTGCTGCTACGTAGTTGACTGTTGCACCGCACAGCTGCATGTGACGATCGGGGGAGGAATTGGGAGTGGAGCCGACGGCGGCAGATGAGGTCATCCCTCTTTGTTCAGCTTCACCCTTTCCACAAACTCACTCTACTCCCCCTCCCTCCCGGTCAGGACCTCAAGACCCAGCACAATTTAGATTAGGTGCTGACGAAGATGGCTTCATTCTTTTGCCAAACAGTCCCTCCACCCAAGACATTTTTGATCCTGAATCACACTTCCCGTATGAAAGGAACGCAGATCGCGCTATATTTATCGCACTGTCCCACAATCTACATAATGCAAGGGAACCATGGAAATATGTGAACAAGGTAAGTGGCAGTCTGCAAGGTCACGCTCTAGAACGCTTCTAGACTCTTCCGACTCGATGGCATGCAGAATGTCAGTGTCCTGGGTCTGGAATGCGGGCTCCCCTTTTTATAGAACCTGCATGTTGTGGGTGCCATCCACCGCACGCGCTGCGATACCCAGCAGCAAAGGAAGTCACAATTTCCCTTTCACCGCGCTACCCTCCAGTTCGACCAATAACATACCTTCTGCTACCTCGTCCTCGTCGTCTTCCATCTCATACACCCAGTGCGCACGGCCCGCGCGGGGGCTGCGAATCTCCACCTCCATTTTCATTTGCTTGACAAAGGCCACGACCTGGTCTTTGGCTATCTGATCGCCGGTCGCCACTAAGATCTCGATCAGCCTGCCGGAAAGCGGGAGGACAATGTGTCGTGGGTTGCGGGTGTCCCCGCGTCGCTGGGTAGACGAGACCAAGGCGGACGCTGCAGTTGTGGTGGCTGCGAGCTGGAGGCGATATGCTGCTGACGAGGTGGCGGTGGTGTACTCGACTTCGGCGGCCAAGGAGGAGGGGAAGTCGTTCTGGAGTACGCGCGTCAACCGGAGATGATGACGCAGGGCGTCCGTGCCCTGGGGTTGCTTCTGGGGAGAGTGGAGAGGCTCGAGGACGACAGACCATGCGTCTCCCCCGCGAAGGAGTGGATTCGACGCTGAGTTTTCGACAAGCGACGAGAAATTGGCATTTGAACCGGCTTTTTCGCGGTGACCTCTTCCCGCATGGCTCCCCATGTGGAGGACTTCCGTTAGGCGCGACTCCAGCCATTGATTGTCGATTCTGCGCGACAGAAAGTCGTCGTGGCCGGTCACCCCGCACAGCAGATCTAGATTGGTGCGGATGCCGCTGATCCTTGTGTCTGCTAGCACTCGTCGAGCTTTCAGCACCGTAGCATCCCAGCTGGTTGCGGTCACGATGATTTTGGCGAGTAGATTATCGAACTGGGTGCCAACTGTCACTGGTTCCCCACTAGTTGGGTTCACGTGGGTATCAACTCTGACCCCGTTGCCACCAGGACACATGAACTCCGTCACTTTGCCGGAGCTGAGTGAGAAGCGGTCATGGGGATCTTCGGCACATAGCCGTAGCTGCATGGAATATAGACGAGGAGCTACCAGTGATGTGGGCTCTAGACCAGTCTGTGCAAGTGTGTTCCCTTGCGCCAGTCGCAGCTGTATCTGGACGAGGTCGATCCCGTGAATCGCTTCTGTAATGGTATGCTCGACTTGTAGACGTGGATTGATTTCAAGAAAGTAGAATTGCCCTTGTTTCTCATTGACCAGAAACTCCACAGTTCCTAGCGAACGGTAACGAATGGCCCTCGCCATCCTCAGTGCCGCATCCAGCACTTGCTGCACCAGAGTTCGGTCAAGAATTAGAGACGGGGCCATCTCGATTATCTTCTGGAACCGTCGCTGCACGCTGCAATCGCGCTCCCCGAGCTGACAGACGTCGAGTCCGTCACCTACTACTTGCACCTCGATATGGCGATATCCGTCCACTGCGGCCTTCTCTGCGAAAACCGTCCGCGAAGGTGACTCTGCCATCGCTGCGTCGACGGCACGCTCCAGCTCACCATCGTCACGGACCAGACGGATCCCTCGCCCCCCACCACCGTCGACGGCTTTGATCATCACGGGGTATTGGACCTGTCGTGCGAAATCCCGGATCAGGGCGATGTCAGCTGCTGGGGTCGGCGTGGCTGGCAAGACAGGCACACCGCACTCGACAGCAAGTTGCTTTGCTTGGAGTTTGTCGCCAGTCCGCGCCAGCGTCTCCCAGCCTGGCCCGACGACTGTGACTCCAACATCGTGCATGCGGCGGGCGAAGTCAGCGCTCTCGCTCAGGAACCCGTAGCCTGGGTGCACGGCTTCGACGGCATGCTCTTTCGCGAGACGGATCAGCAGCGGAATGTCCAGATATGCTGTGGGCGATTCCACCAAAACCTCCTGATCGGGACGACCCAGGTCGCAGTGAGAGCGATCATGTTCTGTGTAAAGAGCAAGCACTTGGATTGGCGGTGACAGCTCACGGGCTGCGTGGATGATGCGCACCGCGATTTCGCCCCTGTTCGCTTGAGTAATCTGGTTTTCTGAGTTGAGATGAATCCATACCTGTTGGCAACAAGCAGTCGTGTGAACGGTCGGGGTCGTGACATTTTGGATGATCAATTGTGCTTCTGCAGTTGGTCTGGCTTAGTGGTTGTTTATGTTGATGCGGTTCATCCTCGGACCTCGGGGCTGAGGGCTGACTTAATCTTACCCCTCACAGCTGGCGGGTGATCATCTCCGCAGCGATATACCAGCCACAAACTCAGAACCCTTCCCGATCAATCCATCAAAATGCCGGATGACAGTAACGATAGCGACACGAGGGACACCCAGCCATCCTCGGCGACGGCTTCAAAGCGTTTGCGCCAGGTCGCGTCGCATTTACCGGCCGACTACTCGGATGTGCTCGCTCAGATTAACACCCTCCGCAGTATCGCTGCCACGCCCGATGCCTCGCGACGAGGCTACATCCGCCAGAAGCAGGCCGGCAAATTATGGGTGCGCGAGCGACTGGACGCTCTGCTCGATCCGGGCAGCTTCCAGGAGATAGGCTCTCTGTCCGGCACCGTGACGTGGAAGCAAACCGGCCCCATGCGCGAGAAGCCCGTGGCATTCGTACCGAGTAACAATGTCCAAGGGATGGGGCGGTTGCGCGGCCGCCGTGTGCTGCTCACGGCCGACGACTTCACCCTCCGCAGCGGACATGCAGATGGTGCCTCGCACGAGAAGACCATTTACATCGAGAAGCTCGCGCTTGCATTGAGGCTACCGATAGTCAAGCTGGTCGACGGGAGCTCCGGAGGCGGCAGTGTCACGCTCATTCGGTCCGCAGAGTATAGCTATCTGCCCTATGTGTCGATGTACAAATACGTCGTAGAGCAGTTGAACCAGGGGATCCCGAATCTCGGGGCGGTTGTCGGTCCAGCCGTAAGCCACTCTCCGGAAAGTGACCGCAAGTTGAGCCAACGACACTGACCTCCTCGCAGATTGGCCTTGGAGCCGCGCGTGTCGTATCGTGCCATTTCTCCGTCATGGCCGCAGACGTAGGCTCGCTGTTCAACGCCGGCCCGGAAGTAGTCAAAGGCGCCACCTTCGAAGAGGGCCTGGATTTCCAGACGCTGGGCGGCCCCACAGTGCATTGCACCAACGGAACCATCGACAACGTCGCCGCCAACGAAGCCGAATGCTACGAGCAGCTGCGCACGGTGCTGAGCTACCTGCCCAACTCCGGCCGCGAGGCGCCCCCCGTGATCGAATCCGAGGACCCGGCCGATCGGGAAGACGAGGCCCTGCGCCGGATCATCCCCCGCCGCCAGACCAGGATGTACAACCCCTGGACGATCATACGCAGTGTGGTCGACCGCGGGTCGTGGTTTGAGATCGGGCCCCTGTGGGGCCGCACAGCGATCGGGGGGCTGGCAAGGCTGGACGGGCGTCCCGTGGGGGTGATCTCGCTGAATTGCGAGGTGAACGGGGGTGCTCTGGACGCGGCGGGGAGTCAGAAGCTGACCCGTTTGCTGAAGTTGTGCGATGTGATGAATCTGCCGGTTTTGCAGTTCATCGATGTTCGTGAGTTCCCCTTGTGCATACACAGACCTTTGGTTTTGTGAAGTCGGCTTTGATCCTTGCTAATACATTTCCATGGACAAAAGCCGGCTACGCCATCGGCACCATCGCCGAACGTACCGCCACGATGCGCTGGGGCGTGGAGCTGGGCAAGACCTACTTCACCACCACGACGCCGCTGTTTAACGTCATCGTCCGCCGCGCCTACGGGGTGGCCGGGGGTCTGATGCTCGGGGCCCGCGACCCCGTCATGCAGGTGGCCTGGCCCTCCGGGCAGTGGGGGTCCTTGCCGCTGGAAGGGGGCATCGAGGTGGCCCACCGCCAGGAACTGCGCGAGGCGGACCAGCGCGGCGAGAAAGCGGCGCATTACCGAAAGTTGGAGGAGGAGTACCGCCGGCTGATGAATCCGGTGCGCACGGCCAATGCGTTCGGGGTGGAGGAGATCATCGATCCCAAGGATACGCGCAAGGTGTGCTGCGCGTGGGCGCGGCAGGTGTATGGGACGCTGATGGCGGAGCGGTTGGCTGATCGGGCGACGGGCAAGGTTCGGCCGGTGTTTGCTTGATGTGATGTGCTTGTACTTTACCAGCGCTACAATCTGCAGCATTAATTCCCAATTCTACAGCCCTTGCGCTCGCTAGTCTCACTCTGGTTTATACACAATCGCCAAGCCATTCATGGATGACTCCACGGGAGCCTATCCTCCCCTCAGAAGTACCAGATGCGACATCCTTCACCTCCTGTCCCTGCTCATGCTCATCGTCCGAACTCGCCAGATCCACCCACTCGTGCTGATAATTGGCCCTCTCGCTCGCCGAATAACCCCTCGAGCGCAGCCAACCGAAGATCCCACGCGTAGCCACCTCCGACAGCGCCTCTGAACCCAGCGCCTCAGGATCAAGCAGCACGAATCAACGCTGGTCTAGTACATCACACCCCCCAGACTCAACCCTACAAATCCCAACAAGCCCTACACCAGCATCCTCAATCTCCCTGCCGTCGACAAGCCCCCACCTCCACCCCCGATACTCCAAACGGTGACACCCACAGGAAGCATGCATCCGCACCTGCAACTCAGCCTCACCCAGCACCGTCACCCCCAAAGGTTTCCACGGATGAACCGGCGCTCTACTCCACCCCCCTCCCTCCCCCTCTCCCTTGTGACTCGTCAAAAACAGCAACCGACACTCATCCTCCCGCCGTATGGCAACTCCATCGCTCACCTCTGTCCTCGCCGTGAGAAACTAGACATCCCGCCCAGTCCACGCAACAGCATCCAAATCCAGCGCCGCCATCCCATTCCGCACATCCCGGAGAATGGATCCAGCAACGTTTACAATAAATGCACCGAGCCATAAGCCCCCGAGTTGGGGCGCTCCATGCCCGAGGACGCGCAGCAGCGCGGGCATGTTACTCGCGTGAAGGAGCGGATCGATGATCGCGAAGGCGGGGTTGAGCCACGCGCTCACGAGATTGCATTCGATGTCGCGATTGAAGAATGTGCTGTGCAGGAGGGAGCGGATGCCACATGGGTTTGTGCTGAGGGTCATGTAATATGGGAGGAGGGCGTGGGGCGTGATGGGGTCGGGGTTTTCGTTGGCTTGGGTTTGTGTGGGAGTGGGTAGTGGCGGTGGGGAAAGGGGAAGGGGTTGGCGGGGGATTGGGAGGGAGGAATGGGATGTAGAGGGCTGCTGCTAGGGCTGCTGAGGATTGGGCGTGGAGGCGGTGGTGGGTGATGAAGTGGGTGAGGTATTCTAGGGCTGAGTGGGTTTAGGTACGCGGGGTTGGTGGTCTGTGATAGCTATGCGGGATGGTTTTGCGAGGTTGACGGACCAGGGGGAGAGGTAGGGCCGGTGGTTGTACTCTGCCGTTCTTGGGCTGGTGCCACTAGAGCCGGAGAGGATGGATCTCCACCAGGTTGTTTCGTCGGCGTCGGTTTGGTAGCCAAGCTCGATTGCAGCGGTAAAGTGATCGTGGGGGTGCCCGTCGGATGGATGCTCGTCAGAAGGAGAGAATGGAACTGTACACCCGGGCACCCTCTCCATGATCTCCGCCCACCGCGCAGACAGGATATACGCCCAGGCCAGGAACAAGACGGCTATGTGGTTGCCTTCGTCCTGGCCCGGAGCACCTTGTATGCCCGGCCACTGTGTCAAAGGTGCAGAGTCGGACAGATGCACAGCGAGTGAGCTCTGCACGCCCACTACAAGCTGGGCGGACATGGCTTTAGGGGACAGGGGACATTGTTCGGGGTTGGTGGAAGTCCGCCAGATTGAGCGACAGCTCGTGACTAGACCGTACCGGCCTTCTCGAGATTCATTTTCTATTAGATTAAGAGGAATCTGAGTATCTTCAGGGCAAAGGCCGCATCCGAGGAAGGAAGGCGTTCGCTGCAGAAGGCCCTTTAAATTGAGACATTCCTGCGGGAGGAGGGAGGGGAGATTTGGGGGGCTGATATAGGAGGACCATTGCTGATAGCTTTCGCGGAGGATTCAGTTGAAGTCTGCTTTGTTGGGACGGAGGGGTTCTTCCATGATAGAGGGAGCGGGTTGTGTAAGAGATTGGTGGTGAGAAGTAACGTTATGGGAAGCATGCGGAGTATGCGGAGTATGCGAAGTATGCGTATACAGGGATCAAACCGAGCCTTCGGCTAGTTAGCCCTTGTGAGTCACCTGATTAATAGATAAACATGACCTTGATGTATAGTTATTACTCTTCTCTTCTGAGTATCAACCCACTTTGAGTCTGAGATAGTGGAGCGTTGTGATCTTACCTATTGTTGTTCTCTCTTTTCGTGCGTTGTAAGTTATAAGTTATAACTTAGGGAGTAAACAACCAAGGGTGGGTCAGGTGATGTCACATGATGCTTAGTCAGATCACGCTAAGTTAATAAGTTGTTCCTGTTCCTGTTCATGGCTCCACTGCTCGAGCGATTTTGCGGGCCAACGGTAACCGGGAACAACTTCTGCGATTCTATTTCTGGCCTCGAAATAACCGTACTAGGTACAGACCAGTGAATGTTCCTTAGATAATTAGTCACTACCGTCATACCCTTATAGCAATCTTCCTATTTCTGTCTCTACCTATGAAGACCAGAAGCTTCCTTCTTCGTACGAGTAACTTGAGAATCGCATCTGACTGACAGTTGACTTTCATTCCATCATTCCCCACCTCTGCTCTTATCGGCCTCAAATCTCCTCTAAGGACAGCCATTCCAGGCTAGCCAAGCTCTTCAGAGCAGCAGCACTAAATACCGCGATGGAGACTGACGCGTCACCGAGCAAAGATGAGCTTCGCGCCCTACTGCAACAGGCAAGGGAGGCTGCAACAAAGGAGAAAGAGCGCGCAGAACAGGAGAAAGAGCGTGCAGAAAAAGTGGAAAAGCAAAATCAGAATACTACGTTTGCAGAATACCTCCACGCTTGCCATGACTTCATTGCGGTGCCCATGACCATCCAGACCAACCGATCGCTCACTACCAAAGGTTCTATCACCGACCCGACCGGCCGTATATGCCCGACCTTTCTTCGACCGTTTGATTTTCGCAAAGCACAACAAGATGTCTTCGACGAGCTCTACAAAAGCTTTCATTCTCCATCTGATTTACGACTGTTTCCTTCGAGGCCTATTATTGAATACACAGGGAAGCAGGCATGCAGATATCCATTAGCAAGTGAAGCAGACCTGGCGCAATATAAAAAGGCAGAACTTGAAAATCCTGTTATGGAGATCTTTGATAAGCTGCTTCAGCTTCCAGAAGACCGACGTCCATTTCTCCTTGATGAAGGGATCATATTCGAAAACCATTCCAACACGGTCACAGAGAATCCAGATCAGATGACTCCCGCGCGACCTCCAACGAGTAAGGAGCAAATGAAACCTGCGCGACCTCCAGCGGATCGACACTGTGTGTATCAGAAATCCGGCGATACGCGAAGCTTGGCTTATATTATTGAATATAAAGCTGCGCACAAGCTTACTGATGCCTTCCTCCGAGCTGGCCTTCGACCGATGAACCTGGTGGAGGAAGTTGTTCAGCGGGTTACAATACCAACAGATCTTGATGAGAAACTTTGTTACGACGCTGCTTTCTTGTCATGTGCCGCCGTTACACAAACCTATGAGTATATGATGAAATCAGGCCTCGAATATGGCCTACTGACAAACGGTCATATGAAAGTTATCCTTCGGATCCCCGAGAACAATCCCGATGCACTAGAGTATGACCTCCTTGAACCGAGCCGGGATGCTGAGGCGAAGCCCACTGATGGCTGTGGTTTCCGTTTCCCTTATACGGCTATTGGCTACCAGTTAAGCTTGACTCTCATGGCAATCCGATCACCACAACGAAGCCAAGCATGGCGGAATGAAATCATTGCCGCATCAAGCAGATGCGAAATCGATTTCGAACGTGCGCTTCGTTCGATTCCAGAATCAGAACGCAAGACAAGTCCACCAGGCTCAGAATACCGGGAGCCAATTTATCCCATCAACAATCGGTCACCATATCTCTTACGCCTACGTGTTCGAAATGATTCTCGTCCAGTGCAGCCCTATAGGAGCCCATCACCAGATTCTTCAGGTGAATCGGATTCAGGCCAGAAACACCCCCTATCCTCTCCGACTCAGGACCGTGGTAAACGCCAGCGGACATCGAACGCTTCACACCAAAGCCATCGAGTGCCTGGTCAGACATCAAAGTATAATTTCTGCACACAGTTATGTCTGCGGGGACTTGTACATCAGTCAGAACTTGATGATAAATGCCCCAATGTGGATCTTCACCGGAGAAAATCAGATGACCGGCGACACACTATATCCCGTGATACCTTGATCAAGCTTGTTGAACAGCAACTAAATGCGGACTTGGACTCCTGCACTCCTCTCGGAAAAGAGGGCGTACACGGCTCTATCTTTGCCATCCAATTACAATCACATGGTTATGCCATGATTGGGAAAGGTACCGACCATCACTCAGATCGTGAAAGTATCATGTACAGAAAACTTGAATCCCTACAAAGATTTGCTGTCCCCATCTACCTCGGCGATGTCTACTTGCAAAGTACCTATTATACTGACTCCGGACGAGAGATTATCCACCTTTCACTCATGGCGTGGGGCGGCCGCGCACTACAAGAGTCAGATCGCCCACGTTTACAGCACTACATGAATGATACAGAAGCTGAGGTCCGCGAAGCTGGTGTTCTGCACCTTGACTTGCACATGTCCAACTTTCTATGGAACGAAGAGGCAGCGCGAGTCATGCTCATTGATTTCAGCAGAGCAGAAATTTCTCGAAAACGCAAAGGATCGGTTGACCTCTCTGCAAAGCAACACCGCAAGCAACATCTATTCACCGACCATGTACACACTGTCCCCCGCTATGCATGCTAGTAGGGTTTGAATGGTGATGTTTTGCCATTAGTGTACGACTTTGCCGTAGTGGTTTGGGACCTGATTTCGTGGTACAGGTATACACCTGCTCGTTCCCAAGTCGCGACATTGAAACAAGCGTTGTTGTAGCTGTGTATAAAAGACTTCGACTCGAGATAGTCTACTGTCTATTACGCGAGCTATTTCAGCGCCTTGGACTCAGTTTCTTGCATGTTGAACGCTTGTGATAATCATGTTCCTTCGTAGGTGTTGTAGTAGTACCCTTTATCTAGCGATCAGCAACCTCACTACTAGGTACCTACCACAGGCCTACTACCTAAAAGGAAAGAGTAAGGTGAGGCCCCACCCCTAGTGAGAAGTCCATGGTTCTACGAAGGCCATGGAAATCCTAATATAAGCTATATCTAAGCAGCAACGGTTGTAATCTGGATAGGAGACAATCTAAGCCTTGTCCCCTATACCAATCATCCAGCCCCATAACAATGTCAATTCAATATTAGCCAACCATTGATCAAAATTTGCGGAGAAATTGGCCGCCAATCCGCTAGACTGCGTGTGCTACTCTGGAATTAATCTCTTGACTCAAGTACGGCTGCCGACTGTGCAGACGGGAAGCCCTGTTGTCCACACCCGATCTACACGCCAATTCAAGCAAGACCCACACAGCAAGACGAAGCGAAGGATATGTCTTCTTCTTCTTCTTCTTCTACTAATCAGCTACTACTAAGCATGCGCTCCGAAACAACGACCTTATCAAGCATGTCCGAGGTGCTTATCAAGCACCGCCTGTGAAGTAGGCTTCGGCCTTAATCTCGAGCCCGCGTCGGGACTGAAATCTATCCCGAAGGTTGACCGGTTGCCCGCCCTCGTCGGAGGCTAGACCATTGGATGAGTGCCGGGATAGCCCTAGATATACTTCGCAGCTATCTATATAGATGGTCAGGACGCCTGCCCTAGTTTGTGTCTCTGTTCCAAGACAAAGTGACTACAGTTTATCTGAGTACTGTCACTCACCCCATTGTTCTATACCTAACCTGTTACCTTAGAACCTTAGAAAAATGGCCACCGTCAGAAAAGTCGCTATTATCGGAGTACGCTATCCCCACACCAACCGGGTTCATCCCCTCTACCCTCATCTTGCCCCTAACCGTATCTCCCAGGCCACCGGCACCCTGGGCTCGCGCATCGCCAGCGCTCTAGCAGCCGCAGGCCACGAAGTCACCGCGCTGCAGCGCCCAGAATCCAACAAAGCGGCCCCCGAAGGGTTGAGGGCCATCAAGGTCGACTACCACAACCAAGCCGAATTGATCGCCACCTTTACCGGCCAGGATGTCGTTATCAGGTCCGTTCATATCAAATCTCCGGTTCCCTTTAAATCTGCACCAACTAAAACCTCTCAGCGCCGTCCCCTTCCCCCAACTCACCACCGAGAAACCCATCATCGACGCCTGCATCGCCGCCGGCATCAAACGTTTCATCCCCTCCGAGTTCACCACCATGCTCGAGTCCCCACTCGCCATCACTCTCCCCATCGCGAGGGAGAAGGTCCTCATCCGGCAGTACCTCACCTCCGCCCTGCCCGACCCCGCAGGAACCACCACGTGGACCTCCGTCAACAACGGCGCCTTCTTCGACATGGCCCTGAAGTACGGGGTGCTGGGTCCCAACCCGATCACCGGGAAAGCCGTCTTCCACGACGGCGGCGACAAGCCGATTGCCGTCTCGCTGCTCGCGGATATTGCAGCCGCGCTGGTCCGGCTCCTCGAGGACGGCACGTTCGAGGCCGCGGCCAACCAGCCGGTGTATATCTGCTCCGCCGCGGTGACGGAGCGGCAGCTGACGCAGCTGGTTGCGGAGGTGCTGGGGACGGATTTCGGGGCGCCGGAGGAGGTGTCCGTCAAGGAGCTGATCGCGGAGTCAGACAAGAAGTTGATGCAGGGGGATCAGTCGGTGGTGGTTAATTATTATTTTCAGATGATGTATGGGGAGGGGTATCGGGGTGGGGATTTCATGGAGTTCAATTGGAATGAACGGTTGGGGTTGAGAGTTATGGGGGAGGAGGAGTTGAAGGAGGCTATCCGGGGGATTTTGAGGGAGTAGGCAGGTGGATGATGTACAGTACAGGAGTTGCATGGTGGTGGCGTTGGGTCTGGTGTTGCGGTGGTAGCTTGCAAATGTGATGCAGTGCATATACGGTGCGTAATTCTAGATTCTATAAATACTGGGTTTATTCCCCGGATGCCGGCATACTCTCGTCCGAATAGCGAGCAGTGAGAGTTCAAGTTAACAAAAGCTGACCCCCCCGTCTAGCGAGAACCTCCTCCCAATCTCCCCCGCCACTTGGTAGTGAACTTATCCCTGCATCCCTCAGACGATGCGCCCACACCTCCTCCAGGGTAGCCTGTGCTAGCGCAATATTCTCGAACCGCCGACGCGCGAACATCAGCTCAAGGCGCTGGCGGATCACCGGCATCGCGGCAGGCGCCGTCACCTCTCCGCCGGCCAGGAAGAGCGGGAACAACAGCGCGGATTCAACTTGCTCGGCCCAGGGGATTTCCTGGATGTGGGCCAGGGTCTCGGCCACGGCGGCTGCCATCTTGACATCTAGCGTGTTGTCTTGATATTCACTCTGAAGAGCATCACCGCGTGAGAAGCTGTTGCTGTGGCAGCGGAGAAAGCTCCGCATCCGCCGGTACAGATAGATCCGTGCGGCGCCGCGGTAGGCGTATGCCAACGCGACCAGCGACGGGGAGGCGGTGCTGGGGCACCGCCAGGCCAGCAGTTTTTGCTCGATCTCAGTGCATGACACATACACTTCCTGGTCATGGTTATGATTGGACAACGCCGCCAGTGTGCCACTATCCCCACCCGGAGGTGGAGGATCTAGAAAACTAATCTCCGCGATCAGCGCCAGGATTCCTGCCGCCACGCCCAGATACGTATCCACCACCCCGTCCGTGATGCCGTGGAGGTAATCAGCGCGCAGTAGCGGCTTCGTGCCCAGCGTAACACTGCCTAGGATATCGTGGTAGGCGAAATTGCGGAGGATCCACTGGCCTTCCGGGGTGGATTTGAGGGCGTCGGGGCCGGCGACTCCGCTGCAGGTTGTGGCGGCGGCGGAGAGGATGATGCTCTTTGCGCCGAGAAGGTGGGCATACCATCCGGTCTGGTTGCCGAGACATACTTCCGAGGTCAGGAGGACAAGGCAGGTGGCTACTTGAGTGCAGGCGTCATCGTTGTGCGGTGAGGGATCGGATAGAGCTGATGCCAAATGGCCGAGGGCGGTGGATCGCGCTTCTAGCGCGGTGATGCGGTAGCGCTCGTCTGCTGCGGCGGCTAGATGGCCTGACGCCCAGGAGATTAACGCACCCGACAGAGCGGGCGAGTCGACGGACATCGGTACGAATTCTGTGCGGTAGGCTTTGGTCAGTGGCGGTGTGGTTGATAAAGTCTGGCGAGGGAGCAGCTCGCACCGGAGAGAAAGGAGTTGTACTGCTGGGTGACTGCTAACACCTGGGCGATAACGTCGATGTAGTATTTCATTGCGTACTGCCTCATGGAGGATCGATTCGTCTCTTGGATGGCGAAGGGGTGGCGGTTGTGGAAGAAATCCACTGTTCGGACGGAGGGCGCGGTGCTCGATTCACCGGTCTGAGCCCGCGGGTCAGGGGCAACTTGACGTTTGGGCTCTCTCACACATTTGAGGTTGAGGCGGATGCATGCTCCGCACTCCGGGAAAGTGTTCTCGGTGCATTTCTTGTGTCTATGCGAGGATGAGTGTCGATGGTGAGTTAGAATGAGGGGAGGGGAGTCCTGCGTGCATACCTGTAACGGCATGTCAGACAACCCGTTCGGTCGTGCTTGGAACCATTGCGTCGTCTTATTCTAGAGGTAACTGTGTCATACATGGTTGCTTGATACTGAGTATCAGAGTCTAGGTAGAGTAAGGAGGAGTGTTGTGTTGGTGCCGGATGGAGGGATTGATAGGAGGCGGGGTTACTACAATGATGGCTATTCCTAACTCGGAAGTGGGTCGGATAGCCGGATACTGTAATTGTATACATACGCAGCCCTAGACCCGAATGCATTATGCAATACTCCCTACAGTAAGGTCCGACGATCTATGTCACGGCACACGAATCACCACTTTCCCCGTATGGCTTGAATTCCACAGATACTCATAGGCCACCCTGGCCTGCTCGAACCCAAACACCCGGTCAATGACCGGCCGGATCGCATGCGCCTCGAAGCACGCGAGCATCTCCTGCAGCTGTTCGCGCGATCCCACCACCACGCCCCGCACGATGCAGACCCGATCCAGCGCCAGGAACGCTGCATCCGGACCGCGGAGCTCCTTGCCCTTGCCCAGGGGATCGGGGTTGGTAATGTGTCCGATGCAGTGAATCAGCCCGTGGAGCGCGATCGCGTCGAATGACTGCTGCAGGGTTAGGGTGCCGCCGACCTCAATAAGATGGTCGACCCCGTTCCCACGCGTGAGCCGCATGACCTCAGCCGCCCAGTCGGGGTGCGTCCGGTAGTTGATGAGATGCGTCGCGCCGAGGGCCCGGGCCTTGGCCAGTTTCTCCTCCGACGAAGAGGTGACGATCGTGGTGGCGCCCGCTGCATGCGCGATCTGCAGGCCGAAGGTGGCCACCCCTCCTGTGCCTTGTAGAAGGACAGTCTGGCCTGCGCGGAGGGGCACCAGCCCGTACAGCGCGTTCCAGGCCGTCAGCGCGGCGCAGGGCAGGCACGACGCCTCCTCGAAGCTCAGGTAGTCCGGGATCCGGACCACCCCTAGCGCAGGGAAGATGAAGTACTCGCCGAGCAGGCCTTGGATCTCACCCCCGAGCTGCGAGAGGAGGCCTGCCTTGGTCAGTCGCCCGGCGTGGTGGTCCTGCGTGAAGTTGGCCAGGACGCGGTCGCCCACGTTCCATTGTGTGACGCCTTCGCCAATTGCCTCGATGATACCTATTTACGCAGATGTTAGGGCCGCACTGTGCAAGGAAGACAAAAGAAGAGGATCTATCACACCTGCGCCGTCGCTTCCAGGCACAAGAGCATCGGGTCCGGGAAAGGGATAGGTCCCCATGGCAATAATTGCATCGCGCCAATTCAGGGATACGGCCTTGATGCGGACGAGAATCTGACCGAACTTTGGGAATGTTTTAGGCACTTCACGCACCACGAGGCTAGCGAAGCCCTTCTTCTCGGGAAGATAGTATTGTTTGAAGGTGGGATTGGTAGCCATGCTGGGTTATAAGTGATAAGACGTGAGTGTTCTTCTTTCTTCTGCGAGATAAGACCACGAATTTATAGACTTTGAGATTCCCTCCTCTTGGCATATCGAAGTTAAATACCTTACTAGTGGGGTGAAAACGCCAAGTTCAGAGACGCTGAACACGCCGGATACGCCAAACACGCCAGCCAATCAATATTCTGTTCTTGTAGATACCTGCGTCAATTGGCCATTCGCGGAGCAGTGGGTACCTACTACTAGTATTTACCTCCAAGGTCTTTTGCTTACCAACCAGGGACATTTTACTTCTTAAAGAGTCTTCAAACTGACGACTGCGACTGTCCAGCACGACTTGCAGAAGTTTACTGGTGGACTGAAGATTATCATTAGTCAAGCATGTTTGAATCCATCACTGATTAGTGGCGTAGAACAACTCCTCTCAAATTCTTTCTCCTTGATTCCTCCCTAGTGCATTCGAGATATCCACTTCGCTCCAACATGGAAGACCGTTTCTTTTCCCGGTGATGACGGGCGGGTTAGACTGGCCCTACTTAAGGCCGACAATTAGAGACCATATATTTTTCCCCACCATGGCAGCTCAAAAGGTTACTCGTACCGGGAAGCAAGACAGGTCGGCCAGACGGTCTGCATGCTTTAGACGCTCAAAGGATTAGGGCCAAGATCACGGCAGCGCAGGCGGACTGACAAGTCCCAAAGGCGCTGTTGCAGGCGAGAATTGTCGCTGGGACCGTGGCTCCGAGCGAGACCCCCCATGTGTATCCTGTATCCTGCCGCTGAGTAGCATGCCATCACGACGGCGGCGCAACCGGCCTGACAAACCCCGTAGGCCGCTGGTCCCGCGGAGGCATAGCTGGCTGCAAGAGCGAGGACGCCCAGAGCTGGATAGGAGATGTTCATCGTAGTGGCTGTTCGTACCGTGCGCGTGGTGTGATGGTGGTCGGGGCCGGGAATCAGTCCTTCAGTTGGTTTGGATTCAGAAAGAATTGGAGGTTGAGTCTTCAGGAGAGACACTGCGAGCAATGGAGTTGTATTTATACCAGAGGTCAACCACATGCCAGCTTTGAGAATGACACTGCAGTGTTCCTTCATTGAATCATGTTATGCGTTGGTCTTTCAGATCCATTCATCACGGTGTTGGGCCCTTTCTTCGTACATTTCCGGCAACATCACAGATCTCTTCTTGAAAGAAAAAGCCAGTATAAACACATAAAACAGGAGTTGGCGCTCACGGCAGTCAGCTGTGACAATACCATGCACAATACGAACAATGGTTGGGTGCACTTCCGACGCACAACTATCGATTTGCGTTCTATAGTTCGGGAGGCTGAACGATCCTTTTATGCCAGCTTGACATCCCATAACTATGCAGTAAGCCACGTGATTGGTCAATTGATGAAACACAGATCCTAGTTTCAGGATACTTAATTTTGTACCACATGACTGGCTACATAGTAGGCTCTGGCTTAGGGCAGCCTTCCGCATGACCGACAAAGAGGTTCGAGCAGACGGTGTGAGAATGTCTCACTCGCGTCATCTTCATTCTCCAAGGCCATGCGCTCTCCTCATTGTTCCATGTTAACTATGCCATCTTCTTCCAATCTAGCCATGTTCACCATCGAACCATGACGACGGGTGCTTGCCAGTAGCTCGATGAGGCCAATACCGATCGCAATATCAGTCATCCAGAACCAACTTCAAAGAAATGAAAACAGCCACGGCTGTTCTTTCTAGCCATGTCGCCACAACAAGGCTCCACAGGAATGGTTGCAGACCCTTCTTCAAGACCTTTCCAAGTCATTCTGTACGAATTCTCATTGTCATCATGCCGCCGTCATCCCCCCATCAACCATGTGCACACCTCCGGTCGTGAACCCCGAGCTCTCATCCAGCAAATATGTCACCAACCCTACCACCTCCTTTGTCGACCCTACCTTTTTCATAGGAATAGCGTTGACCAGCGTCTTCATCAGACTCTCCGAGACCGCATTCCGCAACATAGGTGTATCAATCGGACCCCTGCAACCACCATCAGCGATCCCGCTTTACCTCCCCCCCAGCCAAACCCCAGGAAGAAAAGAAAAACTCACGGGCAAACCGCATTAACCCGCACCCCATACGGCGCCGCATCCATCGCGGCGGAGCGCATGATCCCCAGCACCGCATGCTTACTCGTCGTGTATGCCGACAGGTTCGGCGCCCCCGTGACCGACGCATTACTACCGAAGACCACGACGGACCCTGTGGAAATCTCCTGCCGACCGACCGCATCTACCAGGTACTTCAGCGCCGCGCGGACGAGATTCAGCGTACCCTGCACGTTGACCCGCTGGGCGAAATCCCAATCCTCGTCTGTCACGTTCCAGATGGGTTGCTGGCCGGATTCGCGCGGGTGCGCGCCCGCTGTGTTGATTGCGCCGTCCAGGCGGCCGAAGTGGGTGACGGTGGCGGCGAGCCAGGACTCAACGGCGGAGCGGTCGCAGATGTCAGCGGGGCGGGCCAGGATGTTTGTCTTGCCGATGAGGGGCTCTAGTTCAGTGACGAGGGCGTCGAGACCCGATTGGGAGAGGTCGGTTATCGCAAGGCGGGCGCCGAGGTGGGCGAGGTGGATGGCGATGGCGTGGCCGATGCCGGAGGCGGCGCCGGTGATGGCGTAGACTTTGCCTTGATGCGTGGACATGCTCGCTGCCATGTTGTGTTAATTCTTGTGGTTGGGGATAGGGTTGAGGAAGAGCGATCTTAACTTGCTCTCTGGTAACAAGCAAGAGACGAAGATTTAAGGTGCATGGTGGATAATGTATGTACTGTACGTGCATGTCTGCGGAACGATGACGCGGGAGGCGGCTGGGACATGCTGACCTTAACTCCGAATGCAGGGTCGAGATGTGTGGATCAGTGGGGAGTAGTGTCTGTATAGCGCCTATCAAAAACAGGCGTGGGTGCTTGGCTCCGCATTGAACTAGAACCTCTTATCAATACGTACTGGTACAGTAAAGCCAGCAGGAATCAACCAATCAGAAACCATTGTCTTAGAAATGGCACAAAGTGCATAGGAGGGCTCTCATTGAGCACAACAGGGCGACGAAACTCAAGTAGCACAACTAGGCCATAGTTCTCTACATCAAGTAGAATCTGTCTCACAGCATCACGAAGTCTATACATCAATTGTTCTCTTCGGATGAACTCTCATATATTACTCTTGCTTGGGTTCACGTCAGAAAGATAAATGCTTTCCCTCATGATACCCTGTGTGAACTTTTGACCTCTCGAGTTTACCATATCTATAATAACGGATCACGCTACAAAATTCAATCTAAGAAAAGTCTTTTTGATACTGTTCAACATGAACTATACCTACCGCAACGACGATCCACAAGTCGAAACCTCTACTTCAAAAAAAAAAGACACTTTCACAGCCTCACTGGGTATAATCCGTACTATGCGCAATCGCTTCCATGTTATCCATATTCTCCTTCAGCCCATCAACCTTACCCCGCAACACCGCATAACAATCCGACCCCAGCGGCATGCGGATATACGAAGCTGCCCCGGCGCAGAGACCCTGCTGCTCGACGGCGTCGAGGATCCGCGCGGCCGCCTTCTCCGGATCACCCCGCTGCGTCCCGTCGACCGTGTCGTAACGCTGCATCGCTTCGCCCAGCGCTGTGCCCTCATACGCCGAATTCAATCCCGCCGCGGGTTTCACGTACGCGGAGAGAAACCCGGTGCGGAAGCCGCCAGGCTGCACGATGAGCACCCGAATGCCGAATTCGGCCAGCTCGGCTGCCAAGCTCTCCGAAAGACCTGTGAAGAGATTGATAAGTTTAGTCCGAGAAGCCCCTCTGGGATCATGGCTAACCTTCAAGACCGAACTTGCTGGCGGAATATAACGCTGTAGCGGGACGACCGATCAGGCCCGCGACGCTGGAGATGTTGACGATGCACCCGGTCTTCTTCTCGCGCATGGAGGGGAGGCAGCCCTGGATGACGCGGATCGGGCCGTTGAGGTTTGTGTCGATCTGCTGGTGGATTTCGGTCTCGCTGCAGGTAGTACCCGGATTCAGCACACTCCATCCAGAAAGACAAGCATTCACCCAGGGTTCATGTGTTTCAGACTTACTTCATATCTTCAATACTGCCCAGGATGGAGTACCCGGCGTTGTTCACCACGACGTCAAAACCTCCATGCTCGCGGGAGAGGCGCGCAATATGCTCTTTCGTTTGGGGGTCCGTCACGTCGAGTTGTGCCCATACGCCTCCTAGTTCCTCAAAATGAGGGTAGCTTTGTTGCGCCTTGGATATATTCCGCACCGCACCGACGACCTTGTGGCCTGCTCGGAGGACATGGTGAGCTAGCGCGGCTCCAAGACCGGACGATGCGCCGGTGATTAACCAAGTTTTGCTCATGATGCTATGTCTGAAATTCTGCAAGCTCCTTCAGTTCCCAAGGAGACCTATGATCAACTCCGTAGCGGATGGCACGCTTTTAAATATGCTCTCGGTTGTACAGGTAAGCTCCGGCAGGCAAACCACTCATGATCTCATGCGCCCGGGAAATGAAACCGAGGCCCCACTTTCGGCAAGCCGGAACCATCTTTGTAGGGCGTGCCCCACTAATTTGCTAGGCCAAGACGGAGATATCCATGGACTTAGCGACAGGGTCCTCATCAGTCGGCGTTAAGCTGTCATCATCACCGACCCACTGTGCGTCGGCTGAATCTCGCTCTTACTCGGTATGTCACGGCTAGTAGGAAATGCTAGGCAGACTCTGTGCCGCAACTCCTATATAGGCCAGCCACAGCACAATCGACTATCCACAGATCCTCCAATCTCATACCACCCTCCCCTACCTAGGAAATAGAAGAAACTTCTACCACCATCAACAGCAAACCAACCCCTATCAAGCCCTCGAAAATGTCCTCACCACCCCCCAACACGCGCCGCATCATCACAGCCCACACCCCCTCCCGCACCGCCACCATCGCCATCAACGCCCCCAAAGCACCCACCGCCCTCGACGACGGCACCTACCTCAACCCCCTCTGGTCCTCCACCGAGATCCCCGCCACGATCGACCAGGACCCAACCAAGATCGAACCCAACTCAACCGCCGCAACAACCGGCGGCTCCGTCTTCTGCACCTACGATCTGCCCCCGCGGTACGAGGGCCCGATGCACCGCTCCATCACCCTCGATTATGTCACCGTCACCCGCGGCGTGGTCACGCTGAGCACGGATGACGGGTCCACGGTGACGCTGCAGGCGGGCGATACGGTCGTGCAGAGGGGGACCATGCACAAGTGGGGGAATCCGTCGGATGAGTGGGCGAGGTTGACTTCCGTGATGGTGCAGGCGAGACCGGTGGTGGTGGAGGGGGAGGAGATGGGGGCGGTCTGGCCGTTTTAGGTCCTTCGATTTTCTGGTGGATGGGATGGGGTGGTCAACTTGATGAGGAATTCGGGTTGTGGTGGGTTTATGTGGAAGGTGTACTGGGATCCATTTTGTCTACATCCGGGGTCGTTGGTTGGGATTGGGGCGTTGTTGTTGTTATTGTTTCTTTTTGTTTCTTCATTTTTTTTTTTTTCTTTCATCAAAGAACCCAGCTCCAGGAACTCACGAATATGACCAAATCTTGGCGAGTATCTCCCTCTGCTCCGCATCCTCCCCCAATGCGATAAACTCGTCCCTGAAATGCTGGCTCAATCTCTGAGCGACTTCATACCGCTCGCGCGGAACCATGCCGCCAAGAGGGAGGAGCCCTTGTTCTTGAATCTGGCGCAAGACCAATGAAACACCCTCGATAAGCTCCTTCTCCTCGTCATGTTGTTGGAGCTCTCGAAAAGTGAAATCAACCGGACATTTAATTGAACTGGTGCATATATCGTCCCAGCGAGTGACTACTGCGATCAGTGAATGGCGGAGGGAGAACAGGTCATCTCGCTGCCAGCAAGCCGGCACCAGCCGGGTAGGTTTCATTCTGAGTGTGTGACACGGTTCAGTAAGTGCCTCCCATCGCCTGGGATTCAGACTCTTGAGTTTGGCGAAGTAAAACTGTCGGAGTGAGTCGTCGCCTTCGCCTGTCCCCGCTGTCGTTGGCTCCAGCATCTGCGGAATCAGCACATGTAGATCAACTGGCGAAGCGGCCGCATGCTGCCAGTCGATCACGGCTGTGATGTTGTTGGTTGCTGGGTCCACGAAGATGTTGTCCAGGTGTAGATCAGGATGCGACAGCTGGTCTGGGGATTCGTGACCATGAGGTTCCTGGAGCAGGTAGGGCACGAGCTTTGTATACCGCTCCAGCAAAGCGACGTACTCATCTGCTGTCTCTAGCTGCTCCTCTGATCGCCGGACGTTCATTCTTGGTTTGGCGTGCGTCTGCGCCCATCGGATCTCGTTCTGCGCGATGGCGCTGGCATACTCCGCCATATTTTTGACTATGGCTTTGAGTGTCAGAAGACTGAAAATGCGACATAGTCACAGAAGAGGAACCTACACGGCCCCCTGTGGAGGTTCATTGGTACTCTTCCCATGTGGCCGTGCCAGTACCGTGGATGGGTCAGCGGACCGAGGGCAAATGCGGGCCTACTTCCACCGTCTGGGCTCTGTATTGGAACGAAACTGGGATGTTCTGGTCGTGACTCGAGGTCTGACTGGAAGTATATGCACCCATGCCGCGGGAAAGTAAGAGACAAAAGCCTCCGCTCGATGTCGACGACTTGGTCGATGATGTGCGCACGAGCCAAGGATGGCAGATTGCTCCACAGCAACCCTAACGGTTGCCCAGTCGCTTTCTCCTCCAGAATGTACTCGGCCCCAACTGGATTTGTCTCATCTGCAGACCACGCGTAGATTCGAGGGACGGGGAGAGCGAGATGGTCTCGGAGCTGAATGAAAATTCCACATTAGCAATCAAATCTGTAGATAAGGCAAATAGACACCCACAAACTGACGCGTGGCCACCTCCGATGCGGTAGTGTAGAATCTCGGTCCGGCGTTGGGATTGGGTAGCCGGGCCACCACGTCCTGGCCATTGTCCATCGACAGGATCAAGGCCTTGTTGTATTGCCCTTCGATGCATTTGAGGACCTTGGTACCTGTCATGCAGTATCAGCCATACCGTGGGCTCATTGTAGCAGATGGCTTACAGTTGGAAGCATCACTACCGGCTACTTCGCTGGCGGCATCGATCAGTGCCGGCAGCCGGAACTTGCGATACCGTGCCGCCAGTTGCTCGGCATCTTTGGTGCTGTGGGGTCGTTAATAGAAAGTTTATTTCCTGGGAAAAGGAAAAACGGACAGCCAGCGATAGCGTTGGTACTGATGTAGCTCGGCCTCTTCGATACGAACCTCTGCTCAAAGAAATTTGATTAATAATACATTGTGCTCGGATAGCTGCGCGGAAATTGCCTTCGCCTTTCTCGAGTGCTCTCCACAGTGGTGGCGTCGTATAGGGACGGATGAATTGACTCTTCCCGGTAAGAGAGGGGGCTCTGATCAATTTCCAGCGCATGAGAAAAGACGGGTGGTGAAAAAGCATAGTTGGGCAGCGGGGTGTGCATAGCGGGTGGAACGTCCTACATATAAATAGCTGTCATTCTTTGCGTGGGGCAGACACTGCAGGGGTCAAGTGTAGGGAAGGAATGTGGGGCAGGATCTGCAGCCGGGACGGGAAAGCTCTCTCCAGCTATCTGATATGTCATGTATGTAGAATACGCATATTTGATCCTGGCCATGGCAGACGTGACTTGGTTCAATCTGGAACGATATTTGGCCGTATTTGTCAGAGAGACAATATGAGCGCAGTGCTGTGCGTACCACGGGAGCATTTGCTAACGGTATGAGGGCAACCAGCGAGACACCGAAGTCGCACTTCTTGGCTAGACCTCTGCAGTCGCCTGGCTGACATTTGCCATCCCAGAAAAACTTCGCAGGAGGACTATCCGAGTAGAAATCAGGCTCGATACATGAAGTGACTCATTGTCTGAACAAGGCTAGACTGCGCATGTAATGTTAGCCCTAATTCACATAGCCGCCTGCCCCTCCTCTCAAGGCTGCCTCCAAACTGACTTTCCTTCTTCCTCTACCACTGCGTTGAATATGTCTCTCCCCCAAAACGCTTTCGATGCGACGGTCCTACACGACTTTTGCCATATAGAGGAGTTACCTCACATCCCCACTTCCAACCAATGTCAAGCGACGATCGCTCTGCTCCAGCCCCTTAGAAACACCGACATCCTCGAATCATGTCGGCGAGCCCGGGCGATCTGCGGCTCCAACTCCGCACCAAATAGCTGCCGTGACGCTAAACACGAATTCCTCAATTTTGATTCCCCCAGCAAAGCATGGAGACAGGAAATGATGAAGCGTCCCACTTACACGCGGCTGGTCTTCGATCGGACGCTCCCGCCACGGGGCATCGATAAGTCGCCGGAACTTTACTGGAACCACAGAATGCCAGAGAAGGTCAGTCTTGCTATTAGGGACAGTGACGTTATTACTCTGGCCAGAACTATCGCTTTAACTACAGTGATGCGGGCCAAAGTTGAAATAGTATCATTTGATGCACTGTTCGACCCGAAGGAAGGGGTGAGTGTTCGGAGTGTGAAGGTATTGAAGAGCCAGCTTGTTGCTCTCGGTCAGGCTAGAGAGACTGCCGAGGTGAATAGGCTCAAGAATAGCAATGCAGGGGCTGCGATCGAGAGATAGGACAAAGGCCAGGGGCAAATATTCTTCGCTTATCCTGTCCAGTTCGACTATGATTATAAATACTTTGATGGGATGGGAAATGCATAAAGAAGGGCTATGGAGGTGTGAAGTGAGATGCCGGTTGGTGTTAGTCGATCTCAACCGTGCCCTAATTCACTATTTTATCCCTAACAAGACCAGATCATTTGCAAACCACAACCATTATTTGCTGTCGTAATAGCCGTTAGCCTGCGTCCAAGCTACTATTGTTATCCCCGAGCTTCATGCTCATAATACCTCAGTGTCTTGGTCGTGTATCATCAGCACCGGTAAAGCGAATTCCTCTCTTCGCCTGCTCAACTGGGCACGGGTCACATCCTAGCAAGTCTGAAAACACATCGAATCTTTAGTGGGGTGCCCAGAGCTGGAGCACCTTTCTTTAACTACAAATATCTCTCTAACAACCACAGTACCTGGACTCGCATTTCCATCATTCTGGGTATACGCCCTTTCAGCGGCCGAAAGCACGGCATGTCAAGTGATGTTCGACCGGTCAGGCCAACAGGAACCAATTACTGATTCCCCACTCCAGCATCTATTCGAGCGAAATGCAAATAAGCATGCGAGAATTGCAAGAAACCATGCAGGTAGCGTGATATAACATACCAGATCTTCGCGGGTGCGGTCGCTTGTACAGCAGATAAGCCGTGATCAGCTCCATGCCCAGACCGAGAACCTCCCCTACAAACTCCATGGACTCTGATTCGGACGACCACCCATCGCGCGAGTTCTCAAAGTAATCGGGAATCAGGGACAGCGAGAGGTGCAAAGCGACGATAGCACCTAGCTCGATTAAAATGATCGCCCGCACGCCGTAGAGATAGACTTGACTCCATATCACGAGGGATGCTCTGACTCCGTGATACAGACCCTTGAACAAGGGGTCCCAGGTTGAGGACGGGGAGAGGGAAAGGAAATATGGCTTGATGAAAGAGGTCATTGGTATTGTCAATAAAAGAAAGCTTCTGTGGCGATGGTCAGGGGAGAGAGGTCGGTTCCAGGCGCCAACTGACGAACTGCATGTATGGTAGGGTAGAGGATTTTCAATTCAGCCGATCGGACCCCTGAACAGGATTGTAGAACTTTTGATTTCTGTCGAGAGCTTAGCTCGTGTAAGTTTGATCAATTGGGCGAGGGTGGGGGGGTCTCAAAACATTCAGGGAGAAACCTAACAAATGGGCAGTTCGACTCCGAACAAAACGGGGCGACCACTCCGCCCCACTCCTTGCGGGGGTCGCTCGGCTCGGCTCAGGTGTGATCATGTATTGTTATGATCACTTTCAACCATCAGTGTCCAATTACTATAAACTGTATAGTTATACACCAAGCAGGTACACGTTCGTCTTCATGTGCCTCGCGAACGCCAAACACTCGACGTCATGGCGGGAGAGACCGAATACTCAGATGTGATATATTCCTACCTGAGATCACCTTTCAGGTCCAGTAAAGGCACCAAAAATTAGCTCTTGTCACTTCTACTAAGGATAGAGGAAGGAAGACAATGCAATTGTTTCGGGGAAGCGGGGCGGGTGAAATACAGACACAAAGGCACAATGGGTCCTAGGCAAAACTTAGAAGTATAAAGTAAACTTTATATCAGATCTGCTTTAGGCGTGGCTTTGTTGATTGAATTCGCAATAGTTCTGCAAGAGCTAGAAGCAATGTAGCGCCTGCTTCTAGCCTTATTTTGTTTGTCATTCCCGCATGCTCTTTTGATCTTTGGCATAAAATCAAAGGGGCACGTTGGCTTGTTTGTCGGGCGTTCATTTGTCCTTACTCGGTTTGTAGAGATGGTTGTGCGGCTTCAACACCAAGAATCGATCGGCGTTTCTTTGATGGCTAGCTGCCTTAGTCCTTGCGTACACTTCAAACAGTCGAGAATTTCGATAGTATCAATATCACCGTCAATCCCCAAGAGTCGGAGTATCCATCAGCTCCATCACAGGTGCAAAAACCAAGTGGAAGCAAAATCTATCTTCCAGCAACCAAGCACATCGCTCAGAACAGTCATTCTCTCACCCTTACCACCTTCAATTGTTCCGAGCCCGCACGACAGACTGTCTACGGAAGTTTGCAAAAAGGAGTGTGGAAGCCCCCTGCTCTGCGGGCTCTGCTCGCACGCCCACGACTCCCCCCTTCCAGAAGAAGGCAAAGAAACAGCTCTTGGACAAATTCGGCCACGACCACGAGGAGTTCTCAATCGGCTGGGACGGCCACCACCCGTGCCAGTTCATCCGGTACGAGGAGGACTAGAAGCCGAGCATCTCGGAGCGCGCGCACGAGCTCTACCACAAGATCCGCGGCAATTATCAGGGCATGCCCCCGCTGCAGCCGGGCCACATCCGGGTGCGCTTCCAGTGCGGCGAGCGGGTCGCCATGGTGGACTGGCCCGCCCCCCAGGCCGAGGCCTACTACGCGCGCTTCGGCCAGTTGCCAGCTTACCGGTGGGCTTCCTCGTTGCCCTGCGAGCAGTTGGTCGTCAAGAAGTCGGACCGGAACAAGGACACCATGGAACTCCGCCCGCGCGAGGGCATAGTGCGTGAGACGGCCAAGAAGTTCTGACGGGAGGCGCCCTGTACCCACCCGGCTGGGTACTGTGATCGCAAGCGCCTCTGACAGATCTAACTAGACTGAAGCTCTCCCACAAGGTTTCTGAGGGGAGCCAAGGCAATCTACGGCTTGGTTCCTCAGTTCCTCGTGCTTTCCTCTAGGTGGCCTACTACACAGGCCGAGAATGGTTGAAAATGAAGATCAAGTATATCTAAAACTTTTTTTTGACTAGAAAGTAGACGTAAATCAAAGAATATACCAAGAAGAATCAACATTTAAGGGAGCAGGCTAAATAAATCATGTCGGGTCTTTCTTCGCGCGAAGAAAACAGTAGCAGTTGTTGAGTGGCAAGTAGAAGACTCGGTTGCTTTTCTGTAATAGAGCTGAGGGAAAATGGAAATCCCGATTATATAGGCCGACAAAAAACAACAAAACTAGCGAAAAGTGGAAACAGATTTCACATACAAAAAGCACGACCATGACAGGGAGGAACATGACTAATCAATCACAGATCGTACCCAGGTACAGCCGGCCAAGTAACATCATACAAAGCGTCTATTATGGAAGATTCTAGTACTGGGATTGAGACGTTATACTGCGAACAACATCAACCCACCACGCTGCATGTTGAATGCCAACGTCTATTCCCTCGCGGCCGCGAGACATAAGTATCTCTTCAAGATGCAGCCATCGTAGCGATGTCAGACTGCCCATGTACTTCCAAAAGCTCCTTCGCATGCTGCGTAAAGGACAGCAGCCGCTGGCGGCGGTGATACAGGTCGTCTAGGTCTCCATGGACGCTGGCTTCGGCATCATTCTGACCATTGATGAGGATCAACATGAAGAAGGTCTCGATGATGCTGGGCGGTACGTTCGAGATCAACTGTCCGGTTAGACTCCATTTCATCGCGCTAGACGTGACCACACAGCCAATGGTGAGGAGAAAGCCTGCCATAACCATGAGAACATGGGAGGTAACCGCATCCATCCGGCGGGATACTCTCTGGCTCAGGGACGGGCGCTGGGCGCTGCTGCCTGCGCGGTTATCGGTAGCAAGGGAGAGTTCCGTAAGCAGAGCGGCATCTGCACTCAAAACCATCGTCATCTGGCGCTTGATGTATCGATTCGCTTTGCTTTGGACGTTGCGAAGAACGAGGCTGTCAAAGAGACCCACTAGTCCGGCGTACGTCCCAATCAGGAGCCACCAGTTACTGTCATAGTGGAGGACAGGGCCGACCGCAGCCCAGGCGATGACCACCAGCACGAGAAAGACGAGGCCGACCAAGGTTCCAACGATGTCCGCGTAGTAGAAGATCACCACCTGCAAGATATTCTCCTTGGGTGGGGGGTCAGCCACCATAGGGTTTGGTAGATCATCCTTGGTCAAGCAGCGAAGCTTCATCTCGAGGGTCGAGTCGAGTCGGAAGATGGCATCCAGAGAGGTGCTGCTATAATCCGCGTAGCGTTCTCGGAGGCAGGCGAGGAACGCAAATACCAGGATCATCAGCGCGGATGTCGCGTCGTTGATGTAGAGTTGCCACCGGTCGGACCAGCTGCAATGCGGACCGAAGCCCAGCCAAATCACGACACAGACCCAAAAGAGAAGAGAGCTGAGTACGTGCCCAAAGGCCCGGGCGGAGTGCATGATACCCCGAGCCAAAGGCCCCTGAGAGTGCAAGCTGTAATCCTTTGGCTCGAAAGTCTCCACGTTGCACTTCTCGGCGACTTGATGGATCCCGTCCTGTCCTAGCTTCCTCTTGATGTTGGCGAGCATGCGTTGATGACTGTGACTGCGGGACCGGAGCTCGACAATGGCGTCGCGCTGCTCGGAATACTGGCGCAGGAGCTGACGCATAATGAAAGAGTCAAAGACATAACAGAGAATAGCCTGAACATCAGAGATGGAAGCAATCCAGATGCTCAGGTTTCCAAATCGAATGCCCAACAGAGCCCACGTCAACAGACCGGCTAGAATCACGAAGAAGACCGGTACAGATCCGGAAATCCGGACCATGACATTGAGGCAGCGATCAACAAGCCTTGGGCTCCGTCTGACCCGGAATCCAGTGACCTCGTTGGACGGATTGTCGCTCATGTCCATCTTTGCGTCCATACCACTTCCCAGCCACTGAGTCTCAGCGTTCCCCTCCACCTCGCATCGAAGGACCGGTGTAAAGTAGTTCATTCTGTCTTCGTTGGGTAATTACGGCGGGTAACTGAGGTTTGCCGATTCGCAGAAGAGTTGCAGTAGAGCCAGCACGCATGGGATAGCGGAGACGATAGACACGAGCGAGTTCATAGAGCGAGGATCAGCCATTCGGAGTTGATAGAAGAAATAGCGGGTATTATGATTGCAGGATTGCAGCGAGTAGGTGTTTGAAAGCATGAGAGAAAATTATAGACCAGGTATGGAAGAGATGATAGCAGGACAGGAAAGAAGTATATAGATCATTGGGAGAGAGAAAGAAGGGGAAGAGGAAAAGAGGAAAACTTGAGGGTCGGAAGAGATACCGCTTTGGGTCGGCCTCAAGTACACTTCCGTCCCGGTCGGAGGGTTTATTTTCCCTCCGCAGCTGAAATCAAGCTTCCTTGGCAGGGCTGGAAGTGATCCGAGTCCGAATCCCTGGGTCGGGTCCGAGTCTTTGGCTGCGCCAATTTCTTGATTGGATGGAATCAATGTAGTTGCCTGGACAAGTCCCACAAAGAATCTTTCCCATAAGAACACTTATAAGATCAGTGCTGTTCATCCAAGCACCCCTTCTGACCTAGATAAAATGTTTGGAACAAGTCAGGCATTCTTTGCTCCGTCTTGTAATCCATATTGAGAGCCAAACTACTCCCAGAGAGCCTTAGCGCATGCTGAAGAGCTCGTCGCGTCCACTGGGCAGACTCGACGCCCACCTGCGCCAGGACCCTCGGGTTGCCCTGGAGGGCGGAGGCAGCAACATTTAGCGGCCACACTATCGCCCGCCCGCGCATCGAGAGTCCTTCTTCCACGGCTTTGCTGCCATCACCGCTACCACTGATTACTGCGTGAGTGCTGCGGCAGATGTGTCGAATCATATCCACAATGGTCTGCTCCGCATCTTCCGCGTAGCCGTTGCACAGTAGGATATTTTGGCAGAGCATGATGCGCGTGGCAAAACAGAAAGTGCGGGGCACGGCATTCCAGCTGTTCTCATAGACGTAGACCCGGAATGGGGCGCCGGGCCATTGCAGGATTGCGGGATCATCGGCCCTGACCTCCCGCTCGGAGAAGTGAGAGCTCGGGGGTAGTTGGGCTTCCCATGCATCCAATGCATCATCGGCCGCGAGTAAAGTGTCGACCATGTTAGACATGGCGTGGTGGTCAAAGGTAACAATGTACGAGTCGATCTCGGCTTGCCACTGGGCGAGCCGATACATGGTACAGAACAGATGGGCAGCCGTGAATCCCGGGTCCATCACCGCGGTCCACCATTTTAATGGGAGCTGCGGCCGTGATCGTTGGTTTAAGCAATTGATTACCATTAGCAGGTACTGATATTTGAGGAGATAGGGATCAATGCTGGCTGCCGAGGTGGGCGAAGTGATTTGCTGCCGCACCATGGAGATAGCTCCGTGCTGGTGGGCCGCATGCCAGGATTGCGCCGGTTCAGGGCTCGGAAGGATTGAGTCAAAGAGCCCCATCAGCGCAACCGAGACGACGGTCTCGGTGCTCGAAACCCCGTGACTTCGCTGCAGCTGGAGCCGAATCTGGGTAATAGCCTGCAGGTACTCGGTCCGCGCCATGATCTCCAGCTGTGGGACAGGCTGCTGCTGTTGACGCGAATGGTGGGCCAGAGCCAGGGCACGGATCGCCTGGCGGGTGGGGGAGGAGGGAACTCTGACTGATTGGCGGTAGAGTGTGGGTAGCATCTGGAAGAATTCGATCCAGGGGTTGGAGACCTTGGCGCTGCAGTCAAAATCCCGATAGAATGCCGCGATAACCCGGTCGTGAAGATCCACCAGTGTGCGGCTGGGGGCGCTGGGTTCACGCAGCAGCCTTGCCGCCTGGGTACGCGTTCGCCAGAGAGCAGCAGTGCGGGCTGCTGCTTTACTGTTCTCATCGCGAAAATCGAGCTCCAGGGCATCAGGATAGCTACACTCAGTGCCCCGACGGACGCAGCGACTACACTGCGGCTGCCCTTCATTGCACTTGATTATTCTCATCAGTGTCTCCATTCCCGAAAATCACGAAGCGGGAACCATAGAGAAGGCAATGATCCTACCTTCACTTTCGAGCGACGGCACATGAGACAGCCTTTGCTCCGAGGGCTGCGCGTTGTGACACCTGTCTTCGTCTTGTTCTGCATTTTGGCCTGGTGAAAACCTTCTCATACAATTTGTGGTAACGACCGCCAACAGACTTGACCCTGAAACCCTGTCACCTAACCAGACTAACCTGGGCACATGGCCAAGGCAGGGGCAGGGTTTTATGGTTCATAATCTGCACGTCCGCCCCGCCCCGCTGTGGAGAACAGAACGTGGTCCGGCGAGTTTTATGGCCTCAACGTTCTTCAGGAAAGGCTGTCGGCCGAATTTCAGGCCAATAGCAAGGCTTGCGGATATTGCCGTCGCGTCCCCTTCCGCAAATTGTCTAGTGGCGGGTCACTCAAGCCACAGACTGTGGGTAGGTAGACTGTGGGTCGGAATGAATAGGGGAGGCCTTGGCCATGCTTAAGTTCTGGTGTGCGTTGAGCCGCTATCGGCGATAAGCCAGTACATCCGGACCCTCCCTCCGCGCACTGTGACTCAATTCATAATTTAATTGCTGCTCTGGTATGAGTCAAGACCGAAATGGCGTGTACGGCGCACGGAATTTGACCGCACTCTCTTATGAAACATCAAGGATCAATCAATCAATCACCACCTTGGGCCATCTTCCGGCTCCTTCTCCCATCTTAGAAGGAAGGCATGCTAACCCCGAGGGCAAAGACGAGAAGTCCGCCACAACAAAAACACGACATGCCCACCCGCCTGTCAACTCATCTATACGTTAAACTACTATACATTTCTGCAGAGGACCGGTTCATGTACATGGATAATAAGATGAAGAAATCAGGTACAACGAGCTTGGCCACGATGGCATGGAATGCGATTAAAGTCGGCCTAATATTCTCACTATTAATATGTAGGAGGTAATTACATGTAATTTACTGTACTCCGCATACTCCGCAGCGTATTGTAGATCACGGATAAACAGCCGGGCCGGTATTTTGTCGAACGAAGGGCCGGGGTCTTTTCCGACTGGCTTCCAGAGTTCCAACATGACTTTAAGTAGGTATTCATTACTTCCTGGTCGCTCTTAGAAGCCGCGATCCAAGGCCTGATAGACAAAGTTCCACCACTGGGCACATTCCGCGGAAAGCCCACCTTGCACAGTACATACCTACATACCTAGTTGGTACTGGCCCAGAGCTCCAGGCTGCCCGCCTTCACAGCTCACCACCCCACCATGTCGGCCACTATCAACTCCATAGTCATCGACACCGATCAATTCTTTCCCAGCATCTTACAATCCTATGAAAAGGGTCCAGATCACTATGCCATCTTAGGTGCCCACTACTGACGACAACACAGAAGAACTCACCCCTTGGGTTTTCAAACATGCTGACTCTGCCGATCTCTTCTGTGTTGATCGCTGGCCCGAAGAAGAGTCAAAGGAGTTCCAAGAAGCCTTCCACCTCTTCAACTCGTATGTCTCCGAGGCTAACCTCTTCGACGCCTCCCTCGCCGAGCCCGACCCCCTTCAAGCCTACTATCCCGAAAGCCAACCCTATGTATCCTGATCGCATCGAGCCGGGCTTGCTGGAAGATGTGGTGGGGAGAGAGGAGACTGTAACTCTTCCGCGAAAGAGCTGGAAGTATTCTACGCGGGCAGACTTTGCCCATCTGATGACCCTACAGGTCCTCGTGTTGAGAGAGCTGATGGAGAGTCTTTATCGGAAAATAGGTATGAGAGGTTCTGGACCTCGACTCTAGTAAGTTTCGAACTGCCGCGGGGAAAGCGCGTTAGACTAAAGCACAGAAGCTTTCCTGTGGCCACGCACAGGCAGTCATATCATATCGGCGGTCAGAAGTATGCAGCCAGGCCTGATGGCGCTGTCATGATTCGTACTCAGGACCGAAACCTTCCTATTTTATCTTTCACGAGCGTAGATCGACTCACTTTCAAGCAGAGCCTTCACTACGCTTTCTAAACTATCGCTCCAGTGGTTTCATGATCAGACGTGGGGAGAGTTTCTGGGACAGACTCTGAGTATCATGCTAGGCCAGCTTGCATGCAATGTTAAACTAGGCCTACGCGATCAAGAGATGTTTGTTCTTGGTTTCTACAAACGGCCAATCTTTTTTGCTCGCGGGTTCTTTACAAAAGATCAGATATTGCGCGTCCATTCAAAGGGGTGCTCGGCTGATGAAACCTTCACTATAGCCTTTACACGAGGATATGACCTGTCCTCCAAGAAGGACTGGGATGAGGCTGTAGGGAAACTGGTTGGGTTGCTCAGATATTTTCTCAGTGGGAATGCACAAATAGGTGGAATGCAGGCTTTCTTGGACAAATAATGACGATCCAATCAAGTTCTGTATGATTCATCAGTCCGATCAACCCTGCTCCCTCGGTCAGCTCTTAACCTAGTCAGGTAGTTCATTTATGTTGGAAAAGGCGCCTTCAGCATGATCTGGAGGGGATGCGGTCACGGGTTGCTGGGTCGGCGCGGATTCAAGCTCGAAAGTGCCATCGCCATACGACAAAATACGCTCGTTGAATTTCTCATGTCTCTACTTTTCATGTGATTCATCTTAGCTATAGAGAATAATCGTGTAGTCGGACATCTCATCAAAAAGCTTTCGCCATACTGTTGAGATGTAAAACGGATGTGTAGTCTAACTCATAGCGCGAGGTGGCCGCAAAAGGGGATAGGAAGAGAAGATTTGTGGGATCGATGTGCTAAGTAGGCCGGCAATCATCACTTTGTAGTGCCATATAGAACAAAGAAATACTTAAGAAAGACTTTTGTGGCACACATCATCACTAGCAGGGTTGAAGTGGTTGTCCCACTTCAAGCTAACCTCACATGTATGAATTTGATATCTTAGTACTTCGACTATAGATATTGTACTGAAAGTGATTCAGAAGTGCTTGATAGTAGGCTTAAGCAATAGAAGCCTTTATGATAAGGACAAATTTCCTTATAGTGAGGATTATCTTTTTGTGATCTAACACGAATCTTCTGATAGACTTGCCAATTCACTGCAGTAGCAAAATACATGTATATTTTACACATTTCTGTGCATCAACAGCAGCAGTTTGAATCCAAACCAAGTACAGAGGATCAAGCCGAAAACTAACGTTAGGTGATTGATAATTGAAAAATAGATTTCTTCTGCACATCCTGGCCACTCGAGGATATTACATTTCTTATCCCAGAAGACGTGGGCTACGCGACGTGGATTACACTATAAACAACCACAAAAAAACCCCAGAACAGATTGTCTAAGGTTGAAACCCGCGGACAAAGGCTGTTGGTTTGTTGGGAGCAAGATTGGTTTTGCGATTAGCGTAGATATTAGCGTAGATATTAGCGTAGATATTAGCGTAGATATTAGCGTACTCGCGATCGCGGTCGAGAAGCAGGCATCCTTCATGCTGACATGAAGTGGACTTCCTGGAATATGGTCTTGAATCTAGTTCAACAACCGATTGCTGCGATGGCAGCTCCATTTCTAGTTACTGCTTTTACCCGGAACGGATTTTCCAACCACTTTTCAGGGGTCATGTAACTTAGGAGCTGGAATTGGAGTCGGGGCTGTGATCTTGCGCTAGTGCTGAAAGGTGATTCGGATTGGTAGATCACCGACGCCTCTCATGTCTCCACTGCCACATCACTGCAGTAGCGCTGTATGATGGGTTCAATGAGATCTCCAATTTGCTTGAAGACAGCAGTCCAATCATCGTGATCCACAACGACAGCTGCATGCCCCTCAGATTGAGCTCCGCACTCGCTACTTCCGACATGGGAGGCCTGGAAATTCATGCGCGTCAACTCAATACCTCAACTCTAAGTGTCCCCGTCGTCAGTCATGCGGAACCCAACATCCCACGATGCCAGGCTCTCGTCTGGGAGCTGTCGGAAATTATTCTTGGGGCTTTTTTCCAGCAAGGATAAGGAAGATCGGACCACGGACCAGCCACAAACAGCTGCGCAGTTTGTCAACCATGCCCAGGGTGACTCTCCGAGCCCCCCAGCTGCAAATGATAACTTTACGACACTGGTTCCATCGATTTCAGATCAACCAGTCGACATTTCCGGGGATGAGGCCCCCAGTAAAAAGCCTACAGACCTGAGAGGCCTTTGGCGAGAGGCATATGAGCAACTCACGTGCGACCCAAGTACCGCCAAGCTCATTAAAGCTTATCAGCTCGCACTATTAGAAGGCAAGAGAGAGGACGAGGATGCTGGGGAAGAGGATTTCGACATCAGTCCACGTCTTTGCTCGGTGGTTGAGCGAAGATTCGAGGACATCCAGAATTCTCGAACCAGATTCCATCTCGGAGGAAAAGAAATCGTTGTCAAAGCTCAGGTCGACCGCGCCGTGAAGTTACTCATCTCGGTGCAAGGCCTCGTCACTACGGCAGTGGGCTCAGAGCCCTTGCGTGGGCAGGAGCATTGGTCCTCCTAGTCGGACCCATCACCCGATCCCTCACGCAGGATGCAGAAGCTTCGAATGGATTTGAATCCGTTACAAAGCTTCTAACCCTTTACGCGGTCGTGGAACAGAATTGGGCTCGGAGATATTCTACGGCAGAAACGACCTTTCGGTCGAAACAACAGGAGGCCCTGGCCCAATCCATCAGAGTCCAGATCATCAAAGTATACGCCAATATCCTTCTCTTTCAAATTCGCCTCGCGCGGCACTATTCTCGTTCCAGTATCTTTAGAGTTTTGGAAGATCTGGGGGCCCCGGAAGACTGGAAGGGGATGCTCCAGATGATCGTGGGCCTCGACGCAGGAATCCGACGCGACATCGGAGCAATGGATAGCGCTACGTTACTGGACTTGGACCAGCGGTTCGAGGCGACCTCACGCGAGTTGAAGAAAGAACTTGAGGTATTGAGATATCTTGATCCAGCTCCCAACCTTTCACTGACCGAATCATCCAGACCATTGTGGATAACCAGATCTTCGACAGGCTGAAGATTGCACCAGAAGCAGGAATTGGGGCCGAGAAAAATGACACCAAGGATAAATGCTTTGCAGGGACTCAGATTGGCATCCTGAAGAAGATTCATGGCTGGATTCAGTCCCCTGGGCCAGAACACATCTTCTGGCTCTATGGGGTAGCCGGTGGGGGCAAGTCTACCATCTCACGAACCATTGCGGAGCGATGTCGTGACCGAATATTCCTCCCGGAAACCATTTGCCTTGGTGCCAGCTTTTTCTTCGACAAAAATGAGAGCCAGCAGAGCAATGCCACCTATCTCTTTCCCACTCTTTGCCAATCGCTTGCGAATTGTCTACCCGAGCTCAAGTCCGAGATTCGTAAGTCGCTTGAAGAGCATCCGGAGTCGAGCAATGAACATGCCTCAGTCCGGATGCAGTGGAAGAATTTGATTCTTAAGCCCTTGTTGAGCTTGGAAAAGAACAATCACCTCTTGCCTCTCACGTTGATTGTGGTCATAGATGCACTTGATGAGTGTCAATCTACGCACAACGAAGATCCTGTCTACGCCATATTAGAACTGATCAACGAAGCGCATCAACTGCGCTCGATTCGTTTGAAGTTTCTCCTCACCAGCCGCCCACAAAGCCACATATTCTCAAGCTTTGACCACGTGATGACTGGATCTCATGGTTGCAAACAGGCTCTTCAAGGGGCAGAAACGCCTATTGACCAGGAAATGTCTCATCGTGATATCAAGATGGTCCTCAAACACAAACTTGGCGAAATATCCCAGCGGCACCACTTTGGCTCAGAATGGCCGGAGGAAGAGAAATTGGATGCGCTTTTCAAGAAAGCTGACGGGCTGTGGATATATGCATCTACAGCGTGGGGTTTTATATGTGACAAGAAAGCTAAAAAGGAGTGGATCAAACCACGGTTGGATCTGCTTCTGACGAACGACCGCCACCCTCGTGAAAGACTGGATGGGATGTATACGGAGGTCCTACGGGATGTCCTTAGTTTTGCAACGCCTGAGGAACGAATAGGTACCCGCCGGACTTTTCAGGCAATCTCTGGGGCCATTGTCGTGCTTCACCGGCCTCTGTCTGTCACTACGCTGAGCAATCTTCTCTCCAAGAATACGGCCGAGGTTAGGGGGATGTTGGAAAGCCTAAGCTCAGTCATCCACGTAGCCGCCAGCAATGATTCTCCCATCCGTCTCGCACACCTGTCGTTCCCTGAATTTCTCACAAGCAAGGAGAGGTGTCTAGAACCAACTTTTCAGATCTCGAGGAAGGAAAAGCATAGCCACCTCCTCCGCCACTGCCTCGAGGCTCTAACCAAGACCCTCCGACAAGATATTTGTCATCTCGGAGACTCTTCTACTCTGCAGGATAGCATTGACCCTGGGATCGTGAAGCAGGAGATTCCTTCGCACGTTGAGTATGCTTGCGTCTACTGGGTGGAGCATCTACGGTTAAGCAAGAGCTCCGACCTTGTGAGCGACAATGGACCAGTCCACGAATTCTTGAAAACGTATCTTCTGCATTGGCTTGAGGCATTAGGTGTTATGGGCAAAGTATCCGAGGGCACCGGCGCTGTCCTCAAGCTTCTGGAATATCTGAAGACTCTGCCTGTAAGTGGTAAAGACACGTTCATTCTACCCTCAGTACTGTCTAGACCCTACATGGGATACCCAGGAAGAAGTATCTTAACTTGGTATATAGCCTGACGGAAGCTCCGAGCTTCGTGCTTTTGTCTACGATATTACACGTTTTGTGCGCCACACGCGGTCAATTATTGAGAAGGCGCCATTGCAGGTCTATCGATCTGCTCTCATTTACAGCCCCGAAGACAGCCTTGTTCGGAAGCAGTAATCGCATGTGACCCCCAAATGGATCATTGAGCCACCCACTATGAGGAAAGTCTGGAGTCCTCTACTACAGACTCTGAAAGGTTATGGAGGACGTGGAATAGATTTTTCACCCGACGGTAAGCTGGTCGCGTCTTCGGAAGTGGCCATTTGAAATGCATCCACAGGAACACTTCTTCATACTTTAGAGCCAATGGGGACCGGCGGCGCGGTCAGCTTTTCTTCGGGAGAGGGAAAAGATATCATCTCCTTATCCAAGGCAGGACACGTGAGAGTATGGGATGTGGCCTCGGGACGCTTGATCAGAGAAATCCGAAATCCCGTGGAAAGCATTTCCTCTTGTCTTCCACAGTTTTCCCCTGACCGCACTCGTTGCGCCGGTTATCTTATGTTCGAAATGGTTCTATACTTTCTAGACATCGAAAGAGGAACCGTGATCAAGTGGGTGGAAGTCGACTCTGGACTTTCAACGATGGCCTTTTTCAGCACGCGGTGAGTTTTTAGCAACTCTGAGTGAATCCGGAAAGGTGCAACTCTGGAGCACCGCCACTGGCACATTGATCCATTCTTTTGATTGTTGCATTGAAGACCCCCGTAACCTCTGTTATGACGGATCCGTGGCCTTCTCCCATAACGATGAGGTGATAGCCGCTGCACGGGACCACAAAATTCTCATATGGTGTCTCAAAACACATCGAATGCTCCAGCGCATTCCTACCTGCTTGATCCAGGATATCGCCTTTTCGTCAGAAAGCAGGTGGATGATCACTTCGGGGGAGGGGGGTGGAGAGGGTGGCAAAGGAGAAGTCACCTGGTGGAATTGGTCTTCTGGCCAGCCTGTCAGGACAGTAAGTTCTGGCGGTCTACTGCTTCGACTGTCCAACAACCGCAAGCTGTTGGCATCGGTGAGCGACACACTCGCCACCACAGACCTCCTAAGCCATGTGATTGATGTCTGGGATGTCACAAGTGGAGCTTTGGTACAGAGACATCTAAGGTGCGTCGATGGTGTCTCTGACCTGGCCTTCTCAAATGATGGGACTCTCCTGGCATCCATGACCCCACCTGACACGGTTCGCTTGTGGGATCTCACTGGGCCCTCAGCGAGCGAGCAGATGGAACATTTTCCTGGAAACTCCGTCCGCCGACTAAATCTACTTCCTGGCCACAAGACTCTCGTCGTCAGTGGGACAATTACGATGTGGCTCTGGGACTTCAGGACGAAAACGCCAACGAAGAGGATTGGAAAGAACATTGACAGCTCCGAAGTTTTAGATATCTGGTTTTCTCCGGGTGGGCAATCATTCGCAGCAAATTGTGTGGATGGGGCAGTTCATATACACAACACGCAGACCGGAGCCCGGGTACACAGCCTGACGAGGGAAAATTATCGCAACTGGCCGGTTACCTTCAGCCCAGACAGCAATCTTTGCGCCTGCGCAGTCTACGGCACAGAGTCTCCGGGCGAAAGTGATGTTCACCTTATCAAAGTCTGGGGGAGCAATACTGGCGAGCTGCGGCCACCGTTAAAGGGGCATGGTAAGGTGGTCTGTTGTCTATCATTCTCGCCAAATGGTGAATTCTTGGCCGGAGCGACACTTTTCGAGGGGTGCGTTTTAATCTGGAACTTAGCATCGAAAGGTCTCGAAACCAAGCTTGCAGTACCCTTTACGCCCGCTACCCCTAATGACAGTGTTTTTCTTGCTCAAGACGAACGCCTTGTGGGACCTCTTCCTGACGACCACAGCGACTCGTCATGGTCTATAATTTCCCAATTAATCTCCTCTGAAGACCGCAATGAGGATATTACTCACATCGTTTGGTCATTAGATGGGGCATATCTAGCATGCATATGTCGGTCTGGCAGAATTTGGATGTGGAAAACGGATACTTGGACCTTGATCTGGAGCACCAAAACAGGAGTTGGACGACAGGCGGATCGCGCTCTTGCCTTCTCCCCGGATGCCCGCTTGCTGGCTTCCACCTACAGCAATGAATACAAGTCATCCAAGGGCAGAACAGACCTCTGGGAAGTGCAGACGGGTAAGCTGATTGGCACCCGGACGGTGGCAGCCTGCCCACAAACCCTGCGTTTCTCGGCCGACGGCGCAACCCTGGACACGAACTTCGGTCGGGTGGATGTTCGAGCCTTCTATTCCGGATCGAGATATGCCTCTTCTCGCGATCTATTTCTGGATGATGCATGGGTGGTGGCTGGCAATGAAAGGATTCTTTTGCCCTTTGAGTACCGGGCTACGTGTGCCCTAGCCAGCGACGATCTTCTGATCACGGGCCATGCCTCGGGTCAAGTGACCTTCCTTCGAGTCAAGGCGCCTGAGGACTAAAGCTAGTTACTATGGACTTAGACGGCTGGGCTTTATAACTGCTTTGCAAATCCTACTAAAGCGTTTCTTCCTCCGAATTAGCCCTGTTTGTGTCACAGTACGTTGGCTTTTGGAATATCCAGTATGGAAACACTGGTCTTGCAGAAACTCCTCAGTGTTCAACTATCTGTGGACGTCCTGAAACCAACCCTCGATTTCATTTTATCTTAATGTGGTCAACCAGCGGCTTCGTATTGCCGACGGAGAGTCTTCAGATCAGAATTCTCGTGTTCTGGGCGGGATGCAAGACTTGTGGAGAAAAGAACTTGCCGCCGTCTTGTAAAAGTATAAGCAAATGATAGCTCGGGCAGCTCTCACCCAAAGTATATGGCTGCTCCCCATGACCACATGCCCGTCACTGTACCCCAACGTAGAATGGAGATACGCGATGCCGGGTTCTTCCAGAGTGGTCCTCTCACAGTTTGCAATCTCGATATCTCGGATAAGTGAATCATTCCGATCATCTCCCGATGATTCATACCCATACGTGTGAGTTTACCATCCAAGGTAAAATCTAGACTGCGGTACAAAGGTTTTTAAAGCTCGCGCACAGCGTTCTGCCAACCCACAAGGACAATCTCAGAATTTAGAGTAGAGCCAACTGCGAAACTCTGGTTTTGATACATAAGCCACTCCTGGACGCACAACAGGGAAGACAGCCATTACCCCGAGATAGATAACATATTGAAATTGACCTAGGGTTTGGGAAAGGGCCTTAACGCTCTAGAGGACATATGGCGGGTCATCGATACTCCCGGCCTCCATGCCCCCACCCACTCCTCTCCAACCTCTGATTTGCTTCAATCCAGTAAGCCTCCCCGGGGTGTCCTTCTTCCTTTTTCTTCATTTTAACCTCTATGTGTACATACATGAATCAATACTCGTTTTCCGTTGAGGGACCGACCTCGACCCAAGGGCAATGGCAGGATTTACCGGACCGAAGCCTATGCGACGAACTCGCGGTGCTCTTCGGTCTGCTTATCCTCCACCTGAAGCTGTCCACCGTTGCCTCCGGCTAGTGCAAGCTCTGCATGCTGCTTGCGAAGCTTCCGTGCTGCTCGGACGGGGTGCAGAATGTTGCGGCTGTCGAGGAAGATGTTGTCGATGGCCTCGAGATGAAGGCCCTCTGTCTCGGGGAAGAGAAAGTAGACCACTATCATGCGATTTAGCCTCGCTTTGAAAACGACCCTAGCAGTACCGAAGACGATGCGCTCAAGGGGGCGGAGGAAACAAAAAAGGAGGAAGGAGCGGAAGAATGAGCCACAACACAATCAACGAAGAGTGGGACGTACTCGGCACAAGAAGGACAAGGTTAATCACCGCATAGACCAGAAAGTACTTCCAGCCCAGAGAGCTGAAGCCACTTGGGGTAACCTCGACGACGAGGAAGTTGAACGTCCACGAGGAGGCGGTCGACATGCCGGTGATCTGGGTTCGGACGGCAAGAGGCGCGATCTCTGAACAGTAGAGGTAAGTCAACCCGATGCATCCGGTGACATAGAAGAACACGTAGATGAAGATGAAAACCACGGCGGTGTCCATGGCTGCCTTGTTGCTACTGTTCTGAGACATACAGCCCGCCATGACCGCCATGCAGATGCCCATTCCTACGAAGGAGAGGATCAGCAGCTTCCGGCGGCCGGCTTTGTCGACGGTGAGGGCGCCGAAGGGGCTGATTAGGATTTTCCTTTGTGTGTGGAGAATCGTTAGCTTTTTTTTGAGGTTTGTAAGAGCTTCTTCTTGTCGTTTTCGGTGATGATACATACCAGGTAAACAGCACGGCTGACATGAGCAGCGCTAGCTTGGAATCCATGCCGAGAAATTCCTTGAAGATGGTACTTTGATAGAAAGTGATGGCGTTCTGCCCGCACATTTGCTGCGCCATTTGCGTGGCAATGGCAATGAAAGCCCCATTACCGAAGCGTGAGGGCCCGTTTCGAAAGATGTCCTGAAAGGAGCCCTGGCCAGTTTCTTGCAGGGATGACTCGATCTCCTCCACTTGGTGGACCACTGCATACTCGTGGGAGACTCATCGAGAAGGATGGCTAGCACTTCGCGGGCCTCGTCGATCCGACCTACTTTAATGAGCCATCTTGGCTATCACCTATTGTTAGCTGGTATTCTTAGGGGTTGACAGCTAAGCATAGGCTTACCGATTCCGGCCAAAAGGGGGTGAATATTAGAGATATCAGACAGAGGAGGCACGGAAGAGCGAGCGGCAGGCGCCAGACGACGGAGCCCTCAGCGAAGGCGAGGCCATATTCCAGCCAACCCGCCACGGCCAGACCGATGGCCAGGAACCCGCTTTGAAGCATCACAATAAAGCCTCGAAGCTTGGGGGTAGTGGTCTCGCTTTGCCTATTTCTCGCACCCAACATGCTCTCTTCAGCGAACTGGTAGACAAACAAGGGATTTACGACATAAATGGGGTTCCTACCAATTCGGCCCTGTAGCCGTCACCGCGCCGAATCCCAGCCCGGTGATGAACCGCCCAACAATCAGGTGTGCCAGCACAAAGGCCGTACTCTGAAGAATCGAGCCAACAATCGTGATCGCCAACCCCAGGATGAAGGTTCGTTTCCTGCCCAGGCGATCACCGACCCCGATACAGGCGATGGCACTGAAAAGACATCCCAGGTTGAAGAGAGCCACCACCGTGCCCTCGATCCTGGAGTTCTCGGCGTTCGTGGCTCCAGTGGTGTTCACCGTGTCGAGCTGGGGGGAAGGTATCCACCCATGACTGTCGGTTGACGATGCCGCTGGACACCGCGTTCAGGTACCCGAAGCAGATGTAGGCGGGGATGATGACCGTCGCGATGTGGCCTATGGTAACTTTGTTCCCCCTTAGCCCGAATGCGTGGCCCATTCTGCTGGGTTTAGGTTGGAGATTGGGGACTAGAAGGTGCGGATATGGATTCACGATCAGGGTGGTTGGGAGGTCGTGGTAGGGGTAGAAAAGTCTTGTTCAGGGGTCAAAAACAGCAAGAAGAAATATCTTTCTATATTCAAGCATAATGATGAAGAAAAACAACCATAATTTCAGAAAGGAGATATGGGGGGAAAGCCTGGGGTCAGACATCACTCCCCCCGGGGGTGGAGAGGAGTGCTGTCACGTTCAGCATGGAGAAAGGCATATTTGATCCACTTTTGTCTCACCCCGCGCCTCATCCAATGCCCTTGGGACAGCTGTATGCGGACGTATTTGTGGAGTTGTATTACTCTTTGAATTGGACCCAGAAACCAGGGTGCGCGGAAACTTTCGATCCCGGGGGACTCGGTTCGGTGTAGAAGCTGATCTGGGCAAAGCTTAACTCCAGCTTCAGGAGGTGGGCTAGAATCTTATAGGTAACGCCAAATAACTGAGAAATGCTCATCCAAGGACTGAATGGGCGTACGAATAATGAGTCTATTTGGCAACAAGAATGGTACGCTCATACAATACCAACGGCGTAGGAAAAATGTTGTCGAGGCTATGTCGTCATGTCAATGGGGATCAGCTTCCAAGTTCGGCTAAACGAAGGGTGTGAGCCAACAGGATAACCGCCTTTATGGCGCCGAGTGTCGCTCGCTTGTAAGCTAGGCTGGGGTTATGGTCTGGACTGTGATAATAATCATCATTCACTTCCACCTCCGCTGGCAAAGCGGGTGGATTAGGGCTCTTTTCCGCCTCCGACGGCGGAAAAGCCTCAGGTGGCCCCAGTTCTCCGTCGCCGCCATCTAGCTAGATATGTTTCGCGGATTGCTCCGTTACCTTTGCCGCATGATATACTGACAGGTTCATAGTCTGCGTTTGGCAGAGCCTTCTTCCGAGAAGACGTGTGACAGGGTCAATCCGCTGCATCTCGTGGATCGGGCTCAACATCAAACAAGAAGTCACGAGATGAGGGCTTTTGAAACTGATACAGCAAGCTACTCGTACCAATTTGCAGTACTCCTATTTTTTATAGTAAACTTATAGTATTTTTAAGAATTATTATTTTACTGCTTAACAGACCGTCTTTTTTTCTAACTAATCCTAATATAAAAATTATATATAAGATTTTGTAATAAAGAATTCTAACTTATTAGTTCTTTGGTCTAAAATATTCTAAGACTCTGATAATTCTAATAATTCTAATATAACTTATAGTTGTATATCTTTATCAAAACTAGACAGTTTAAAAGACTAAAATAATACTGTCGGCAGAATTGGGTTATTGCAAATTGGCACGAGTAGCCCACTGTAACTGAAGGCAATGATATTTGTGGAGACCGGTGGGAGGTGAAGCAGGGCCTGTTGATTCCTCTACATGTCACTGCAGCCGGGTAGGCGGTGAGCTGGCACTTCAGGCACCAAGGCCCAGGGCCGCCGTCAATATTATCTGGGTAGTCGTGGCAATCCGTTAAGAAGAACCACATCCCTAAGAATACACCGGGATCGCGACAATTGTCTCATAATTGAGGAAACATTACATATGCTCCATTGATCAAGGGTGTAAGCACACATCCTGGCACCACAAATTATCTCAGCAAGCTTTGTGAGATTGACTGGTCAGGGTTGAATTCCATTTTCACCTCAGTTGCCCTGCAGGTAAGGTATCTCTGTACTGATTCTCTCATGAGACTATCCGACTCCGATTCTGGTGTTCAGTGCAGACCGTCTGTACTCTGCCCTGCCAGGTTGATCTCCAGCCTTGTCTTTTTGGGTTCTCATGCTTCAACTTCCGCATCCTCAATCCATCAATCATTGACGTCAATAATACCGGCACAAATCACACGAGGCAGTGGCGGCTCTCAGCACGCTAGCACGCCAAGTGGTCTATCTTCATCCGGGGATACAAGCTGCCATTGATAATAAAAAGCTATTCATTTGGACATTCTCAGGCCAAAGGCCACCGAGGTTGGCGGCGAGACGCAGCATGGCCACTGAGGCCGCAGGGACGCCAACTGATTCCAAGGTGTACACAACGCGTGTGTTTCTCTAATGACCGCCCACTGCGAGGTTCAAACCTGACAAACTGGGAATCTTGTCCACTAAGTCCGTCATAATCTCTTTCCAGACTATGCCCCTGACTTTTAAAGCAGTCTGGCTGCGTAGGTTGGGTGCTGATAACCTGAGGTTCTGACATGTTAATTGATCGTCTAAGGCACAACTTAAGAGGTGAACGGAGCCGGAGCAGCCATACCTGCGGTACTCGTCTTCCGTAAACAGGGACTGGATGTATTTACCCTGCCGGACCCGCGTTAGCCATCGCCCGATAAAGTCTACCATAGAACGCGTCATAGTCAGAAAGAGGACTCACATGTTCATCGATAGATGTCCTCGCCGCCTTGACGTAGAACCTCGCCCCGAAGTCCGCAGACTTGCCGAGAAGCCTTTGATGAATTGGTACGAGGACCTTCAGCCAGCGAGAGCTTTCCGCCATTGACCGGCCAAGGCTAGTTGATACGAGCCCGGGGCAAACGGTGTTGACGACCACATTGACTCTGCTCAAAACAATTTAGCACATGCATGGAAAGAGGATATGGGGAAGAGGAATGATCTTACCTTCCGTCCGCCCTCACAGCTCTCTCGCACAGGCTCTCGACCGCGTAGGTCAGCGCGAGCTTGCTGACTGCGTAGTTTGGATCCAGCACACCGCGGGGCCAATTCTGCTCGTCGCTAAAGTATTTCAGGAGTCCGCCTGTTTGGGCGGCGTATTCCTCCCAGGGGGTGATGTCAGGGTCGAGGTGGTCGCGCGAGGTCACGAAGACGATGTGCGGTGGGCCGCTTTCGGCCTGAGAGGTTGGTTGCTGACCCATCCACTCCAGCAGAAGAAGTCCCAGGAGCGTGGTGCTCAATGTATTGACTTGGATTGTTTGCTCCCTTCACCAGACATACTGAGCTTGCATTAATCTGTGAACCAGAGACGCTGAACGTACCAGCCTTCTGGGCTGAGCTTGAAGTCAACGTTGATCAGACCCGCGTTTAGAACCGCGACATCAAGATGCCCTGCGCAACTTGCCGTCTGTTGCTTCAACTGAGAGACGAAAGAGACACAGGATGAGTATCGGCTCATATCCAACTCCAGAACCTGGACTCTTCCCTGGCCGACGATCCCCGTGCATGTCTCGACATATTCGGCTGCTGTGTGACCGTTAACTAGGTTTCGCGCGGTGAGGATGAGGTTTGCGCCCAGGTTTGCGAAGTGAACGGCGGCTGCGCGACCGAGACCGGAATTTGCCCCTGTGATGAGGACTGTCTGGCCCTGGAATGAGTCTGAGGGAGGGAGAGGCTCGCCCCAGAGCTTATCGCATACGCGCCGGGGTAGGAGGAATACCATGATTCGAGGATGCGTCGGCAAAGAAGGGTGCTTCGTTGATTGACTTCAACAAAGTAGGTACTGTACACGACCTTGGGACTGTACATCTTCTCGACTCGAGATGGTGGGCGGCTTTCGGTTGTCTGGGAGTCCTGACAACGCTACTGTGTTGTCATCCCGTCAGCCAGTGCTTTACTCGGCTTATGCTGTCAGCCAGAGATAGATCTCCCGGTCAGACTCGGCTGATTCCTTGTAAGCGATGGTATTCTGCGAGCAGTCATCATATTATCATTGTTGGGGGTTCATTGTACATAAGCTACTAGTGTACAGCACCCACATGTTCTCGCAATAGTGCATGATGGCAGATACCACTATTCACAGCGAGGGCTTCACCTCCGAAACCATTCTCGTCCGTGTCTCAGACAATGCAGGTATAGCGCCCTGTTCAACGCCACAAAGGACAACAGACTTAAAATTACAATGCTGACATGTTTCTTCCTTGATACGCAGTTCCCGAAAGCGTTTTCTGTCGCTGGCGAAGATGCGCAACAGCCTCGAGTGAATACTTCCACGCCATTGACCTCTTCTTCAGAGTCAGCCATCCACAGACCGAGCGGTCTGAGCAAGCCAAATCCCTCGAAGGAGAAGGAAGCGCACTGGAAACGCTAGTGCGCCAAGCTCGCAAGATCGTCGACAACGGACATAGCCCCCGGCGAAGCGACATTGTTGCCAAGGTGATCCTATCACCCAGGGCCGGATACCTTTGTCGAAGCGACATTCTCGACCTTCGCATGCGCCATTCTGAGTTCATCTCCGCGGTGATCCGATTCACAGACTGCCAAGACTATCTCCTCGGATCAGGTGGGAGAGAAGGAGAAGAAGAAGCAAGCATTCTCCCACTCCTCGCCTCGTCGCCTGGAGCACTGCTACTCAAGCAGTCGACGCACGACTCCTCTCCCCTCGACACCCTGCAACTGCTCCAAGACGACCTCGCGATGCGGCTATCCTTCCCATGGATACTTCCCACCCAGCCCAAGCCGCGCAGGGTAGCCGTTATCGGTGGACGGGGCATGTACGACGTCCACGGGAGAACCTACGGGTCGCAGGGCTTCTTCGAGGCGGCGCACGCGCTGGGGGTGTCGCTGATTGTCCTGGACCAGCATGACCACTGGCTCGCGGGCGAGGCTTACGCGCATCTTCGCGAGGAGTTCATCGCACTGGACCTCTCCGCTCGGGCGAACCTCCCCGAGCGCATCGCCGCAGCCGTCCGTGGCCGGGCCATCGACGGGATTGTCACTTTTACCGACGAGTACGTCGTGACAACGGCCGAGGCGGCCGAATCTCTAGGGTTGCCGACTGAGCCAGCGGCGGCGATGCGGCAGGCGCATCACAAGCACGAGATGCGACGGTTGCTGCTCTCGCAGCAGCAGCAGACCGACAACAACAAGAACAACAATGCCAGGAGCACCCAAGTTCAGGCGATCCACCTCCATAGCGCGGCCCAACTGGACCACCCTCCCCCTGCCCTCGCCAACCAGCTCGCCGCCCTGCAGTACCCGCTGGTCGTCAAGCCCTGCCGGGGCCAGTTCTCCACCGGCGTGATGAAGGTCGCCGACGAGGCCAGCCTGCGGCAGGCGGCTGCAATCCTAGGGCGAAAGGATCCCCGCCTCGCCGAGCAAGGCATCCTGCTTGAAACGTACGTCGCGGGGCCAGAGCTGGACGCCAACTTCGTCCTCCTGGACGGCGTCGTGTTGTTTCTGGAGGTGACGGACAACTTTCCGTGCTCCGGTGACGATCGATCGGCCACGCTGGAGGCCAACTTCGCCGAGACGCTGCAGATCTCCAACACGCGGCTCCCAGCCCGCGAGATCGAGGTGATCCGCGAGAAGCTCGGCCGGAGTCTCCGGGCGCTGGGCTTGCGGTCAGGCGTGTTCCACGTCGAGGCGCGCATGCGCAATTCCGCCATGCGGTATGAACGGGTGGTGGAGAGTGTTGTGCGGGACGACAGCAGCGAGGGGAAAGGTGGTGGTGCTGGTATCAGCGACAGCGGCAGCGGCCGCATCATGATCATGGATCTCATTCTAGGTGGAGAATCCGAGGAGCTCACGCCTCCCCCGTCACCCCCAGTTCCCCAACCCGACCCCTTCCTCATTGAGGTCAACGTCCGTCCTCCCGGCACGGGAGGTACTTGGTCGACCCTGTATACTTACGGTGTAGACCTTGGCGCCCTCCAGCTCCTGCGCGCGCTGAACGATCACGAACGTTTCCGCGCGCTGTCGAGCCCGTTTCGCGTTCCTAGAGGGCAGCATCATCCCGGCGACGGCGGGGGCGCGCAGTACTGGAACGCGCACTGCATGGTTCCCGTGCATCGCGACTGGGTGCGGGTCCCCGCCGACTTCTTTGAACGGGTGTACCAAGCGATCCCCGAAATCGTGCCGTACGTGTCACGGGCGGAGTTGTCGGTCGAACCAGGAACACTGGTCCCGTCGGCTGGGGAGGTCCCGTGGATTGGCTATCTGCTGATGCATTCCAGAGTCAGTCGACGGCATTTGCTAGGGATGTATGCGCGGTTTGCGGGGGCTTGTAGGGCAGTTTTGGACGCTACGAGTGGGGATAAGCTTCTTGTCTCTTAGTGCTTGGTTTTTGTTGGACTTATCTCGCCATCGAGGGTGCAAATAGACATCACCACGATTCCATCCACGACTCCAGTGAGATTTAATTAGCTAGTGCCAGAATGGAAGCTAGTGATAAGAAACAAAATATTACATGGTCGTTACGCACCAGCAGCGGCCACTAGTTCCCCGAACCTCGTCCCAGGCGCCTCTTTTAGGGCTACGGGATTCCCCACCTCGACCACCTCCCCACGGTCCATCACCACCACCTGGTCAAAGTCCATAATCATTTCGAGCCGATGGCTAACCGCAAGAATCGTGTACGCCTCGAACTCTGCCCGAATGATCTCCTGCATCGTCCGCTCGGTCTCGCGGTCCACGCTGGAGCTGACCTCATCCAAGAGGAGGATCCCCCTTTGCTCTGCACTGCTGGATCCCGCGTCCGGGGAGGAAGGAGAATGTGCACGCTGGCGGATCTTAGCACGGAGAACAGCCCGTCCCAGCGAGAAAAGCTGCCTCTGCCCGGCGCTCATGGTCCCCGCCGTGACCGGTGCCAACAGCCCCTCCGTCCGTTCTTGCACGAACTCCCACATCCGGACCGCTTCTAGAACCTGCTGGCATTCCGCCTGGGTGGCTGTATTGGTTGGGTCGAGATTCGCCAGGAAGGACGAGCCGTCGGGCAGGAAAACCGGGTCCTGGGGGACGGCGATGAGGCGTTCGCGAAGGGTCGCACGGTGGATGCGGTGCAGCGGGAGTTTGTCGATCAGAATCGGAGACCTCTGGTCTTGGCCATCACCAAGGTTGCTCTCGGGGTCGATCGGGGCCGGCAGTGGATCGAGGAGCTTCAACAGGAGAGCGAGGAAGCTGGATTTGCCGCTGCCGGTGCGGCCGCAGATGGCAACCTTTTCCCCTGGGTAGATGGTGAAGGTGATATTCCTGAGAGCTAAGGTTTGCAATTTGGTCGTGGCGCCAGAGACTCTCGCGGAGTTAGAATCGGACTCAGAGTCGGATTCAGACCCGGTGGTAGACTGATATCTGGCGGATACACCACGCAACTCGACCAGCCCGCGATCCGGCCACTTGGCGTCTGGCACGATGTCCTCCTCTCCGGGAGCGTCACGGTCCTCCGGCATGACGGTCTCGTTGAAGGTCTTCAGTCTGGCGATCGCGCCGATGGAGGTCTCGAGTCGGGTGTAATAAATCACGATCCCGGATAAGCTCTCGCCGAAGGTCATGAGCGAGTACATGGATGCACCGGCGAAGGCCGAGTTAGAATGCAGCCGGACAGCCAGCTTCGTCAGGACCGCCGCGATGACCATCACAACAAGATCCAGAACCAGATTCAGCCACTCCTGAATCATAAGGAGCAGATACGCCGCGCGCTGGCTGGAGTCCACGAGACGGGCGTTCTTGTGGATGTCCTCCGGGACGAACCCGAAGGCGCGCAGTGTGGCGATTCCTTTGAGAGTGTCAAGAAAATGGGTGTAGAGCGGGCTCTTGGCCTCTAGGTCGAGCAGTCGCAGCTGTCGCGACGTGCGGAGGTAGTACTTTTGCACGAAGTAGAGCAACGCGCCTAGGATCGGGTAGCTGATGGCCAGGTAGACCGATGAGGTGAGCATCACCGCGGCTTGGCCGATCGACTGAAAGACGCAAAAGAGGGTGTTGAGGGTCGCCTCGGGGAGTTCGGTGTCGATCAGGTTGAGATCTTGGGAGAAGAGGTTCGTGACCACCCCGGTGTCGGTATTAGTGAAGAAGGCGAGTGGTGCACGAATTAGAGTACGTAGGGCTTGCTGGTGGAGGTTGGCGCCGGCTTTCTTTACAGAGATGATGAAGAGTGTTACCCCCAGGAGGAGGAGGGCTATGATGGCACAGATCTGCAAGACGGCATAGATCCCCGCATAGTAGGAGTCGGAGTGTGCAGGATGAGTGGACTCGGCGGCGTCACTCCAGTATGTGAGCCCTGCATTTATCAAATTAGTTGTTGAGTATATTGGAGATAGAGGGGAGCGGAGACGCACAGATGGTTGGGTAATTGGTGAACAGACCCCACAGGGCCGCAAAGAAAAGGCTACAAACCGCCACAAACCATCCCATGCTTTTGAGATATAGCTTATAGACGGTGGCGTCACCTACCTGCCGCGCGGCGGCCGCGGCTGGGGCAATTGGGGTAGATGATTGCGTGCTGTGGACAGTGATCGCACGTTCGAGTTTCTTGTCAGCCCCCGGTTGGCTCTCATTTTCGGGATGAAGGCCAGGACTAGGCTCATCGCCAGCAATGATATCCTCGCCTCCCTGCTTTAGTCCCACCTCCAAACACTGAACATAACCCCCGCGGGTCGACAAATCGACGAAGGTGCCCTGCTCTGCAACGCTGCCATTTCCGAGCGCAATGATGTAGTCCGCAGTCGGGAGATGCCGAACACTGTGGGTGCACAAGACCACCGTCGACCCCCGTCGTCGCATGAGACCATCCGGTCCAAAGACCTGACGAAAGACTTTCTCCTCGGTATCAGCGTCCAGGCCGCTAAATACATCGTCCAAGACCAAAAGGTCGGACGGTAAGTATAATGCTCGCGCAAGAGACAGACGCTGCTTCTGCCCGCCCGACAACGCTACACCATCCGACCCGATGTTCGTCTGATCCCCCTGGGATAGAGTGGCAAGATCGAAGCGCAGGGAAGTGGCTTCAATGACTTGGTCATACCGCTCGCGGTCAAAAGGAGTGAATCCGATGATGTTCTCTCGGATCGTACCGTTCCAGAGAAAAGCGGTTTGTTCACAGAAGCCGACGTGGCGTGGGGAAGTCTGCGTAGCGATGCTACCTTCGCTGAAGGGCATTTCACCTAGAAGGGCCTTGCAGAACGTGGATTTACCAGAGCCGACAGGGCCGACGACCATCGTAAGGGCCGAACCGGGGATATGAGTATTGATATTGTTCAAGACAAACTTGTCTGCTTTCCATCCAAATTTCGCGTCTCGAATGACAATGGAGTTGGAATTCTTCTCCATGCCGCGGGTCTGGGCTTCGACCATGGGCTGTCGATAGTCCCGACGAGGCTCCAGTTCCAAAAATGCTTGAATCCGACCCAAGCAGGCCAGGCCCGAAACAAGCTCTGGGACGGACTGGAAGAGCTGCGACAGCGGCTGAGTCAACAGAGTCAGGAATGAAAGACCGGTGAACATGGTCGAAGCATTTAGCGTCTTCTGGGCAAAGGCGAAGGTCAGCGGAGGGCTGATCAACTGCGGCATAAAAGCGAAGACGGCGGCGATAATCATTATCCTGCGGTATCGGGCACCAGCGGCTAGTTCGTCGACACGGAGCTGCTGCACGTACGCTGCCACGGGACCAGCGAGGCCGGATATCTTGAGTGGTTTCATGCTGGCGATGACGGTGGCTGTAAGCCCAACTCGCTTCTGCACCCCGGACATCCAGGATCGCTGTGAGTCCCCGGTGAAGTTGATTAGGATTCCTAATCCAACGAAGCAAACTATCACCACGCCTACGGGGGCAACGAACACTACCCCGAGTTGCCGATAGAGCATCCAGGCGGCGATACCGGCCTGAATCAAGCTCGCCCATGTCTCGTGCACGAAGCGAAGACCCATTCGGATGCGTTCCATATCGGTGCTCATGAGTGTCAGCGCAGCGCTATCGTCACCTGATCCCAGCCGAGCTCTCGTGGCGGCTCTAAACGTCTCGGTGACTAGTATGGAGCGGACCATTGTTCGCAGTCGGTGGTGGCAGTACCAGTACAAGCCGTAGGAGATTCCAATCCCGGAGTAGATGAGTATGGCAGCGCCGATAAGCCCATATCCTGCATTCGGATCGGGCTCTGCCTGAGACAGATACGTGACGAGACTCTCGATAAATAGAGGTTGGCAGATGTAGAACGCAATCAAAGCCGCCCGCGGAGGAATAGGCAGGAGCAGTTGCACCCACAGTGTACGTACTAGTACCTTCAGAAGGCCGAATTTATCCCCCTTCAGTTTATTGTAGTCCATCTTCTTTGCGAATTCCTCATGCAGCGCTTGTGCGGCGAAAGTGCTATCGAGCGGGTAGAGGCTTTCGATGGTGAAGGTATGTCTATAACCAGCCAAAAAGAGCTTGTTTAGCCAGAAGAAAACGCCTAGGGAGAATATTCCGCTCGTTTCTTCGGGGCTGTGTTTCGTTGCATCCCAGGTCACCCATCTCGCCTTTTGCCAGGCCTCCAATACCAGGATAGCGGTCTTGAGCCCGACCGATGCACAGAAAATACTGCTATACGCGACCTCGAAATCATGGTCTGACGACAGGAATAGAGTTCTTGCTCGGGAAATGTCCAGGAGAAGGGTAAGAAATAAGTAGCTGTTGAGCAGCATCGAGGGTCTAGGGCTGCGGCTGTGGTCCACCACACTCATCGTGAGCATGAAGAGGGCCGATAGCAGCTGAAGGATGGAAGAAGCGATGAACATGCGGCTAATATGGAAGGATCCAACCGCGGCGAAAATGAGGAGAGCAAGTTCCAAGCCAGCGTAGATTACGATGGCACCCTAAGCAGTCAGTGGGGAGAAACTGTTTACATAGTAATAGAGGACATACTGTTTTGATGAACTGCAGAAGGGGCGCATTCACCACGACGGGCTTGCGTATCCGTGTTAGAGTTCGCCATAGCGATGATGGAATAAACAAGATGGAGGGAATAATCGAGAAAAAGAGACTCTCAAATTGAAGGTTGAAGTCAAATTGTTTTTGGTTGAGGTGGAGCATGTTGCCCTCCCCATTTGTGAAGGGCATTTTGTGGACAGTGACTCCCGCTCCTGCGGATTTCTGCTCTCGGGGGCAGAAACAGGGGAAGGAAGAGTTTCGGCGTGGGGAGAGTAAGAACTGACGGTGGGGTCGCATTATATTGAAGTGCAGTGGCTAGCGCACACGCCATTGTGTGTGACAAGCCCCAATCACCAGTCGGGAGTTGATGCAGGGGTCAGTTAGTACATACAAGTACTGTACCTAGTACTATTATGTGGGCAATTTCTTATCTGGCACTCGCTATAGGCCAACGGAACAAGACGCTCCGACTTATTTTTTCAGGCGCTCGATCAAGATCAGTATTGTGAGATGTCTACGGAGTACTAGGTACCTAGTCGTAAATTAGTCTCTCTAGTCAGGCAGTTAGTCTGAATCTAGACCCTCGGGGCACATACATAGTATCAGGCAATTCGTACCCGTCAGCAGCGCCTTTTTCAGCTGTCAGCCACCGGGTGTCAGCCACCGGGTGTCAGCCGTGAAACTGCCCATCTAAACTTATCCTAGACGGATACGCCAAGACACTGAAGTGGATATAATCAATGTATAAAGAGAATCAAGCTATTTGCTTAATTGCCGAAAAAGCCTACGTGGATGCTCCGCAAACCACCCCCCCCCCCCCCCCCCGGCTCACCTCCGCATACGACTAATCTATGTCCAATCTCACCACTCCAGCAATGAACGGTTCACCCTCCTCAGATCCACTAGACGGTACCGTCGTCGACCTCTTCGACCAATGGGCCGAGAAATCCCCGGAGCGGGTCGCAGCGGAGTGGCAAGGCGAATCTCTCACCTACGGGGCTCTTCGCGATGCCTCTCTCCATGTTAGTTGCGCCCTCATATTGGCTGGGATACTGCCACGCGCCCGAGTGCCGCTATTGACCCAAATGTCGTTGGAAATGCTTCCGGCAGTGATTGGGATTTTGAGGGTAGGGGCCTGCTATGTACCGATGGATGTGGCCGCCTGGAGCCGTACTCGTATCGAGGCCGCACTCTCCGAGCTGGATTCCCCGGTAGCGATCATAACAAGTTCCTGTCCCGACCTCCGACTACCTGTCATCACTGTCAACTTTCAGAGAGAATGGCTCGTCTCGTCACCACCAGACAAGGGTGGCCTACGACTGGAGTTGGAGGCACGCCGACGGGGAATACAGGCCGATGACCTTGCGTGGATTATTTTCACCTCGGGCACGACGGGCAAGCCCAAAGGAGTGATGGTGTATTACAGGAGTATATATGCAGTCTGTACCGTGCAGCACGGCCAGGAGCTAGAAGAGGCCGCGCAACAAGGCGGTCGCTGCCTTCTTGCGTTCTCCATTGCTTTCGATGGCTGTGCTGCAGTAGTCTGGACGACTTTGGCCAAGGGTGCCACGCTAGTGATGGCCTCGCCATCAGACTTCCCACAGGTTGCGACAACCTGCCAATCCTTAAACCTCACACCTTCTATGCTGGCCGCGTTGGATCCGTTGGGCTCTTACAACCGAGTGCGCTATATATTCCTGGGGCTGAAGCGCCAAAGCTGGAGGTTGTGCGACGGTGGATTACGAAAAGCAGAAAAGTCTTCACCACGTACGGTCCGTCAGAAACAACTTGTGTGATCAGCTTTGGGGAGCTGCATCCGGACCGCGAGGTGCCTTTTGGTGAACTTATCCCCGGGGTGAGGGTTGTCTTGGTCGATAAGGAGATGAAGGAGTCCAACTATGGCGAGGTCCTGATATCCGGGCCTGGTCTAGCTGCTGGATATCTCAACAATCCTACACTCACAGCGAAAAAGTTCATCGACTGGGAAGGCAGTCGCTTCTATAGGACTGGGGATCTCGCACGCAGGTCCGAAGATGGACAGCTATTATGGGCAGGCCGCGCGGATTCACTCATCAAGAATCGCGGCTTCTTGATTAATCTGGAGACTGAAGTTGAACCGGCGATGCAGGCTTATCCTCAAGTCAACTTAGCCGTGGCTTTCCAGTGGCGTGATAGGCTTGTGGGCTGTGTACAGCCGTCCACCGTCGACGTGGAAGAACTACGCAAATTCCTGCAGAATCGTGAGGATCCCTTTGTCATCCCCGATATGATCTTCGCCATGGACAATTTCCCACTCAATGTCAATAGTAAAACGGATCGCTTGGCACTCAAGGCCCAATTGGATGAGAAGCTGGGCCAAGATGATGCTGCTGACGGAATCGTTTCTGTTCTCGAGACAGACAGACTCACGGCTTACGACGCGTTACGTTTGGCCTTTTCCCGATGTCTGCAGAACAGATTCAAGACTATGGACCGGGGCTCGTCTTTCACGCGACTGGGAGGAAATTCGTTGACAGCCATTCAAGTTTCAAACTTTCTGAAGCAGCGGGGATACATGATTCCGGCCGCGCAAATCCTCAAACTAGACACGATCGAACGGCTGGAGGGCCGCCTGAGAAGACACTCTGACGTCGATGTCACGGAAAGAGAGATCACGAGCTTGCGAGCTACGGCGACACCTGTGCAGCAGCTCTTCCTCAACCGGTCTTTGGAGACACCACATACCTTTGCTATCATTGGCCTGACCAAGTATATCGGCGACCCCTGCCGAACTCCTACCTCCAGTGACCTGCGTGGTGCCCTGGAAAAGACGCTCTCAGCGCACAGCATCTTCCGCACGAGATTTGATCTAACGGACTTCACACTCTCCGATCTAGGCCGACTCAATCTCACCTGGACCGAGATCAGTGTGCCTGAGAACGAGTTCGAGCAGGCCTGTGAGGCAGCTGAAGAAGAATCATGGCAAGCCGTGAGCAGGACCACGCGCTCCGACAACGAAGTCCCGTACTGTGCTGTGATCTGCATCTCTGTTCCCGGCCGCAGAGCACTGGCCTTTGTGACGCGGATTCATCATGTCCTCACCGATGTGTTCTCCTCTGCCATCTTGTCGCAGGACCTGGAAACCGCCCTCGCGGGTGGCGAACTAGCACCTGGCCCCCAATTTGAGGACTTCGCGCGCTTCATGCAATATTACACACAAGCCAACATCAAGCGCGCGACGCAATGTTTCACAAAGATGCTCGAGCCCCTACCAGCCTCATGTGTCCTGCAACCCCCGGTTCCAAAGGTACCTCCCCCACCGGACGCCTTCAACCTCATTCGTTTCCAGTCGTCCCCGTCCACCATCACCCGGGCTGCTCTTGACGCCGCATCTCGCCGTCTCTCCGTGACCCCTAGCACATTGATCTACGCTGCATGGGCGCTCTTCCTCCATAAAATTACCCTGTGGCCCCGCGTCGGCTTCTCCGTCAGTCTTTCAGGCCGCACAGCTCCATGGCCATTGGCCCCCGCCGTTGTCGGACCCCTTCTCTGTCGCTCTTTGTTCAGCACCAGCATTGACAGAGACGCAACAGTCCATGGCTGGCTCGCGACCGTGCACAAAATAACTCTCGATATTATCGAGTTCGATGGGCTCACGCATTCCCTGCCTGCATCTCTGATGGCCGACCCCCGCACGAACACATCCAACGTGCTCTGCTTCCTGGATGTCCCGGCGCCGTCGCAGAATTGGAGTCACAAGGATCGCCAGAAGCATTACTATACCCTTTCGTGGTACATCACCCAGCGGGGTGAATATGTGGCAACGGAGTTGGAGGTTCAGTTGGAGAAGGTGGATCTAGACTGGGCAAAGGCCGTGGCTGGTCTGCCTGAGGAGATCTTGTCGGGACTTATCACCGCGACGGAGTCTACTCGTGTCGCGGAGTTAATTACCACTAAGTAGCCAAAGCCACTTTCTATACATCCAAGTACTGTACATCAAGTGGGGCTCGTGGGTAGCATCTCAGACAATCGAAGCAGTAGTCCTCGCACTTGTGCACTCGGGTATCCGGAAGCTTGCCACTCGGAACCACCCAAGTCGCACCACGAACAATGATACCATAGGTTCCGCGGCAGGATCACGCCACTGGAACAATAGCACTCAGAGACATATCAACAGATTAGTTGGAGGCACTCCCGCGTGTTACCAGTCAAGTCCCGCCGTTGCTTATATAGAAAGAAGTAGATTCTGCTTTAGGTAGCCCAATTGAGGCTACATCAGTTTTGTATCTATAAGTCGAACCCGATGGAATTAAAGGGGCGGCCTTCTAGAGTGACACTTGGCACTCTTTCTCTTATGAATTTTTCGTGCCAACCTCGTAGTAATCGGCCTGTCCACTAGTCTACCTGGCTCAGCTCACTGCAGTATTATATATATCTTCTTGGCCCATGTGCACCGGTGATTGATATAGAAACAACGGCACAACCCGGGTTTGTGATCACTATTTCATAACCGTTTCGCATCTAATTAGTGTTTAGAATTGGGCTTTACTCCCTGCAAAATATATTTCTACGGGGCGGTCTTGCAAGCTGGCGTCTCACTTTTTTTTCCTGATAAGAGATATAGTAACAAGACCTTACATTTACACATATCTTCTTGTTCATTTTGACAGTCTAGGCTATAATCATATCTGTATATATATGAGTTCCCACCTAAACGTCTTTATCTTGGGCGGCAGACACCTGCGGGGAAAGGGAGGGGGCGTCTGCTGATCCGCTAGATAAGTCAATTAACTTACCGTACAGTACCAGCGATCTCGGCGTAAAGAAGAGCCAGATCGCGCAGGGGCTCGGCCCGCAGCGCTCTTTGATCGCGACTATTGCCTCTTCAAGGAAGGGCACACAAGGTAAGTCGTAAATCTTAGCCATTGTTACTTCAGTCATGTAAAATAAGCCCTTATCTTGTCATTTCGCCTACAGATAGGATCCGTCGGGCTCCGAGAGTCTATCGGAGCCGAAAAGCCTAGCTCTGGGCTTGGCCTTGGCTCTGATTGACAGGAATAATTCTTGTTATCCTCTAGGGCTAGCTTAGCCACCCTCCGGTCCTGCAGTAAGCAAGTTAGTCCTCTTGTGATTGCGTCAGCGCAGGGGTGTCAGCTCTGAGGGGGGTCACAATTGCTGGGACCCTCTGTAAACACCTCCCCTCGGAGCTCCCCGGATTACATCCTGACCCCTTTAAGATTTTCTGGGGCTCCCAGAGCACCTTTAAATCCACCTAACATAGGCCATTGGAAGCATTGTTGGAGTTTTGTTGAAACCGAAGGCTATGTCTGAAGTTTATATGATGGATCGGCTTTCATTTTTCGTTGTTATTGTGGTTCTGAAAGTGTAGGTATACATGTTCCAGAAGTCCTTGATCAGGCCTACGAAGTAAAGAATATTTTCTACGATTTCGAGTCATTCTAACCTACGCCAGAAGCATCTCGTGGCTTGATTCTAGCCCCTCGCACTAATTTCCTCCCGAGCTGATAGTCCGCCAGCACATTGGCATTGTATGGTCACTATGAGATTTCCCCATCCCCTTCCCCCTCAGTGGCTCATTTTACCCTAGATTAGTACAGTCCAAAAGGTCCGGTAGGAAATGAGGTGCTCTGTCTATGGTGGTGAGATGAGTTGGAAACGGTTATAAATAAGCGGACCTCTAGCCATGCTTTTCCAATTGCTGGTACAGCAGCAGCAGCAGCAGCAGCAGCAGCACAAGACTATCGCTTCACAGGATAAGACTAGATAGCATGCCACCGACTGCGGAGTCACCTAAAGCTACCAAGAAGAAGTCAGGTCGGTCGACTAGCCCCAGGGCTGTGGAGAGAAGGCGGTAGGTGGGTTCCACTCGTTTCCCCTCGGAATTACGAACTGACCCGTGGATCCGATGTGTGGATCAGACTCCAGAACAGACTGTCGCAGCGCAAACACCGTATGAAAATTCTACATTGACGGCCCCTTCTTCAATGCGCACGACACACAGCTGATTGAGAAGCTCGAGACAGGACAGAGGGTCAAAGAGGGTACCCAGACTGCGGAGGCAACAGGTGGAAGCCAGACCGACAGTGATACGCAGGACTTGCAGAGGAGCAACGACCCACTTGAGGCGATTGAGAACTACTCACGGCCCGTACCAGCTGTTTCTAGAAGTAGGATGCAGCGTCCACCGAGTGAGAATGATCATGACCCGTTCTGGCTGTCCGTGGACCCAACAATGATGCTACCGACAGTGGGGAACGAGAGCAGAGGGTCACAGCCGGCCTCGATCTCTTCAATCTGTGCCTGTGGCAGCGGCGTCATTACGCCCGGTAGCCATGCGGCCTCCCACCATGACTACTTTTCAACAGACAGTGCTCCACAGAGGCGACAAAGTCACTACACACTCTCTGACCCAAGGTGCGCCTCCTAGCCAGTGTACTAACCGCTACCACTCCCCTGCCCTCCCTTCTAAAATTGAAACGTCGTTAGCTCGTCGTCCTGTCCCTCCTCCGTTGCCGGGTCCCGCGCCAATTGCAATGTCTCCCATCGAACGACCTGCGCAAAGAATTCATCTGCGTCTACATTCACCATGGACGCGACCTTACGCAAACTTTTTGATCAGTCGCAGTCGCAGATGCGCCCTACCCCTCTTCTGTCGCCGACCAGCGAACTCCACTCAATCCCTTGCGCATCAGGGCAACCAGATCCGCTGGGGGGCGCCCAAGAGCTCGCAGCCGCCGCAGAGCTCGGCGCCGCTGAAGCGACGGACATCACGCGTCGGCTGGCGATCGTGCTCGAAGCAATACGGACCGCCGGATTCCAAGGCTTCGATGAAACGGCGGCAGCGTACTACACCGCGCATTTGGACAAAGGGAGCTTCCCGGCCATGGTACAATGCGCCAGTCGTGGCCGTCGGTTGAAGACGATGCTACAGGCCCTGCAGCAAAGTAGCCAGCAGTGGCGGCGGTGGGAGTCGAGAGGGCTCCAGGAGAGTATTTGCGAAGGTTCAGGTAAGCTAGTTCCGCGACACTATGCTCGACTATATAGATATGTGTACGCAAAGCTCGGTGTGGGAATGGTAGTAACAGGCTATTCGCCGCGTCGAACTACAGCATCCCTCTGCGTGGCGGAGATGGACCCTTTTAGCGGTCGCAGCGTACAGGTCCGCGACGAGAACGAGCCGGCCTCCCTAATTGCAGCGCTGGAGTCGCTACTGTCTATCCACAAGGCGGGCACACTTGGGGAGACGAGAGTCTCAAGCCCGACACCTCTAGAGGAATCGGGGCTCATGGAGCAGATGGATAACGCACCGGATTTGGTAAGTGAGCCCAGCTTTGGGAGACTATGTACGGCTTCACTAAAGGGGCTGAATGTGGCGTGTAGATGCCGTTGCTCTGGTCGCTGCTGACGGAGCTCGCCGGCACGAGGAGCGTGTATTGCGACAGAGTCGCACGCCTTATTCTTACGATCTTGCTCTATACTAGGAGTCCCCAATAGCATATGCAGATAGACCACGTTCTCTCATGAATTGTATGTCTCATCATGCCTGCTAGTGTACTGTACTGTACATAACATGCAGCTAGTTCTCGGTCCTAATGTCAAATGTACACGCATAGATCAAGTCTCAATGGCCCACCGCGGCCGTGTGCTGTCGCGCCACCATGTCCCTACACGATTGGCCACTGGACAACAGTGTAGATGACGTGCTTACAGGGGTTCATTACCTGGATGCCAGGTTCTGATACCGTACCATTAAGACTAGTCCAACCTCTAGCTACAGCAGACTAACCGCAATTCGGGCAATCTCATCCCCTCAATCTAAATGTAAGCCATAAGTTACTACTAGCTCGACAATCCCATGGAGTATGCCACCCTCGCCGCCCTCGGAACAGCATGCTTTGATCCACTGCGCTGCAGCTCCAGCATCTCCGTCACCCAGTCCGCCACCGTTTGCACCAGTTGATCCACCTCCTTCTCGGTATTATGAGCATGGAACACGAGCCGGATGCGGCCCGTTCCCTTGGGTACAATGGGGTACGAGATGGCGTAAGCGTTCATGTTCGACATGGCCAGGTGGGCGAACAGGTAGTGCTCGTGACCATTTCTAGTCCGCAATGGCACGATGTGACTGTGGAAGGCTCGGTCTTCCCAGCCCTCGGCGAGGGGGACATCGAGAAGACCCTCGTCCATACCTTCTCCCCAGATGGGATGATCCAGGAGGGTCTGCAAGAAATATTTCACAATGGTCTGGATGGCGGCTTGTTCCTGAGACAGCGGGCGTCAGTCAGCATCAGCAGCATAATCCCGGCACACACACCGTGGGAGGAAAACGAAAAACACCCTCAAATACCTTCTGGGTCTCGCCACTCATCAGCAGCTGATAGCCCGCGCGGATAGAGGCCACCATCGGCACCGACGGCGCACCGCTGTATGTCAAGGATCGCGCTGAGTTCACGAGAGCGCTGCGCACCGTTCTATTGCACAAGATCACACCTCCCGTCGCCCCAAGCGCCTTACTGCAGACGTGGACCCGGATAGCAATCTCTTTCTCCAACCCCAGCAATTGGACCTAGTAGAGAGCCCCAGTCAGTCATTCTCTGTCTCTCACACACACGAACACGAAAGAGGCACGCAGTTATTTCACAGAAAGTAAACCAACAGAGAAGAAAAAGAAAAGAAGACAATAGAAAGGAGAAGACGCACCAAGCCCGCCCCCTTCGGCCCCAATACTCCACTACTATGCGCCTCATCGATGAGAAACTGGGCATTTCCCGCTGGGAACATTTCTTTGACGACCTGCACAAACTCGCGAAGGGGACAGATATCCCCGTCCATGCTATACACCGACTCGACGCAAACCAGGATATTCTTCTCGCCGAAGCGGAACCCCGGATCGGCGTCTCGAAGGCTGGCCAGCACCTCGCGCAAGGAGTCGACGCTGTTGTGCTGGAAGGAGACCTTGTGCGCCGCGACGCTGAGCTTGATACCAAGGCTCGTGCTCGCGTGTGAGAGCTCGTCCCACACGATCGCGTCCCCGGGAAGCGGGATCGCCTCGAGCACCGCCATGTTGGCCAGGAGGCCCGAATGGGCGATCCACGCCGTCTCCGCACGGTGAAAGGCCGCCACCTCGCGCTCCACCTCTAGCAGGTAGTCGTAGTTGCCGTACTGCGTGCGCGACCCGGAGGCGCTGAGCCGGAACTCCCCCCGGCTGGCGAGCTCGCGCTGGAACTCCTCGCGGATCCGCCCCGTGCGGTTGAGCGACAGGAAGTCGCTGGTCGTCAGGTCCAGCACGCTGTCGGGCCATCGTGGTTTGGTCGTGTTGAGGGCGTGGCGCTCGCGCACCACGTCCATGGACTGTTCCAGGCGCCGGTAGAAGGCCGGCGCGTTCTTCATATTGGGTCCGCGCAGGACTTGCGCGCCCAACACTTCTTTGAGCATGTCTTCGTAGTACATCGTGGTATCTTAAGAGGTTGTGAGGTTGAGATGTTGATGTGCTGTGGCAGTGGTACTGTTGGTTGGGTGGAGGTTAGGAACGGTAGAGATGTGGTTTTGGATCCGGCGGCGCATGTGCTAGACGACTACTCTTGCTGTGGATCTACCATCAAGCTGACATAACGACTAGGCGCGGGTCTCAGAACTGTGCATTCTATTCAACGTTGTAGATCCGTGTAATCTGTGCTTGGGTATCTGACCATGCAGCGACTTCCCCTGGCTGACAGTGCATGTGGCTGACACCAGGGGTCTGACACTGCTAGTATGACAAGCCGACAAGCAACTAGTTTTCCTTTTTCGCTTTTTTTTTTTCCGTTCTTCTTTTCGTCCCCTCTTCCCTGGCTGACACAATGCAGTGACGGGTGGCACACGTAGAGCGATGTTCATGCTTGATGCTAATCACACACATACCAATGGTTGTTGTGTATGGCATCATTCATCAAGTATGCGCATTGGCCATGAAGGCCAACCTAGCAGCGGTCAGCCCTGGTAGGGACTGACTGACAGTCACTGTTGGCATCATAGAGTACAGGCACATTGACCTAAGAGTGGTCGAGGTTATGGCATGTCAAGTCCTTGTAGATGGTATAACTACCGATGTGATGTAGCTATCTACGCACCAGGACTACGGACCACTCTCGCAAACACCTCTTTGACATTGGACCTCCTTTCAATCTTCTCACGGCCAGCTCTTTGTTATTTTCCTCTTTACAGTCTTCTACCGCAATCATGACTGGAAGTAACGGGATCGATAGTGACCATACTAATGGTACCAACGGTCACTCCAACGGCCACACCAACGGTCATACGAACGGTCATACGAACGGCCACACTAACGGTCATACCAATAGCACGGCCACCCATACCACAGAGTCGTCAACGCCCCGGTTCGAGCCCATCGCCATCTGCGGCATGGCCTGCCGCCTCCCCGGAGGGGTGAGCTCTCCCAAAGAGCTCTGGTCCTTCCTGCTCTCCGGCCAAGACGGGCGCATCATCACCCCGAAGAGCCGCTTCAACATCGATGGGTACTACTCAGCGACGAAGCGCGCCGGCACCACCAACACCAAGTACGGATACTTCCTCGACGAGTCGGTTGACCTGGCCGGGCTGGATACCTCCATGTTTTCGATGAGCCGGATGGAGGTAGAATGGCTGGACCCGCAGCAAAGAATGATGCTTGAGGTGGCGCGGGAGTGTGTCGATGACGCCGGGGAGGTCGGCTGGAGAGGCTCCCAGATCGGAGTCTACATCGGCTCCTTCGGGCAGGATTGGTATGACATACTCAACAGAGACGGGTTGAGGCATAGTGTTGTGAGTGTAATTTCGAGTCACGACTTTATGATATCCGAGAGAATCTCGCATGAGATGGACCTTAAGGGGCCGAGGTATGTATTCCTCTTGTTCTTGTTTTCTTGTGTAGGGCAGGCTTGGATCCGGTGCTAAACACACGATTTTCTTGGGATAGTATGACCTTAAGAACCGCATGCTCGTCAGCACTCGTCGGTCTGAACGAGGCGTGCATGGCTATCGCCAAAGGTGACTGCGAATCTGCCATCGTCGGTGGCTCCAACCTGATCCTTGCCCCGGATCTGGTCACCCGCTTATCCGACCAGGGGATCCTCAGCCCTGACGGTTCGTGCAAGACTTTCTCCGCCGACGCCAATGGTTATGCCCGTGGGGAGGCGATCGTATCCGTCTACATCAAGTCTCTGAGCGCCGCTCTTCGAGACGGCAACCCCATCCGCTCTGTGATCACCGGTAGCGCTTCCAACTTTGACGGGCGCACGAATCCCCTGACGACACCAAGCGCCATTGCTCAGGAGGCCCTCATTCGACGCACCTACGAGGTTGCCGGAATCTCCGACTTTTCTAAGACCGGTCTGTTTGAATGTCACGGCACGGGCACGGCTACCGGAGACCCCATTGAAGCTGAAGCGATTGCGAAGGTCTTTGGAGACCAGGGAGTCTACTTGGGCGCGATCAAGCCCAATGTCGGACACTCCGAAGGGGCATCGGGATTGACGGCTGTGCTGAAGGCCACCCTGGCGCTAGAGCATCGGACCATACCCCCGAATATCAAATACGCGCCCTTGAACCCAAAGATTCCCTTCGAGCAGGCCAAGCTTCGGATCCCGAAGCAGCCGACTCCATGGCCCGCAGGAAGGGCTGAGCGCGTGAGCATCAACTCCTTTGGAGTGGGCGGATCTAATGCCCATGTGATTGTGGAATCTGCGGATAGCTTCTTCGCCTCGCGCGGTGCAACGGTCACAGCAAAGGTAGAGACAGGCAATAAGGCACAGCTGTTAGTCTTCTCCGCCAACACCGCCCAGTCACTGAAGGAGATGGTTGCAGGCTACCAGTCACTGCTGCTTGGCGGTGAATTATCCTCGATCAATCTCGGCGATCTAGCGTATACCCTCGCAACCCGACGAGAACATCTCCCCCACCGATCCTTCGCAATTGCGTCACAGGACAAGTTCGAACTCCCTGTGTCAGTGCCCATTGCTAGCACCGGCAGTAGTCACACCCCATCCCTGGTCATGGTTTTCACTGGTCAGGGAGCGGCCTCGCCTCAAATGGGCCGGGACCTGCTCCTCTCTGACGAAACATACGCCAACAGCATCAAGTCCCTCGACAAGCGTCTGCGCAGCCTTGGCGCCGACTGGTCTCTAGAGGAGGAGCTCTTGAAATCAACCCGCGCCAGCCGCGTGTACGAGGCCGAATTCGCTCAGCCCCTGTCGACTGCGCTCCAGATCGCTCTTGTTGACACACTAGCAGCCGCTGGAGTCAAGCCGTCGGCTGTCGTCGGCCATTCCAGCGGCGAGATTGTAGCCGCCTATGCCGCTGGTGCGCTGTCGGCCCAGGAAGCCATCGCCGTGGCTTACCATCGCGGGGCCACTGCTAGAGCCCAAACAGCCCCTGGGGGCATGGCGGCTGTCGGCCTGGGCTGGGAACACGTGCAGGACTTTCTCACGGAAGGTGTTGTCGCAGCTTGTGACAATTCACTCAACAGCGTGACGCTCTCTGGGGACGCGGACCAGCTGGAGGTTGTTGTGGCTGAAATCAAGAAAGCTCACCCAGATGTCTCAACCACAATGCTAAAAGTCGGGAAAGCGTACCACTCCCATCACATGCTTGCCCTAGGCCCGGACTACCACCGCGCCATGACTGAGTCCGGGGTACTAGGGACGAACCCCTCGATTCCTTTCTTCTCCAGCGTGCGGGGCCAGTTAATGGGAGACACGAAAGCCGACCGGCTTGGCCCGGACTACTGGCAAGCCAACCTGGAGCGGCCGGTGCTCTTCCGTGCAGCTCTCACCGAGATCTTGCGGGCCAAGCAGCAATTCAAGAACCCTGTCCTCCTGGAGATCGGCCCGCACTCGGCCCTCGCCGGTCCTATCCGGCAGACATTAGCCTCCGAGTCGAGCAAAGCTTCGTACATCCCCACGCTGACTCGCCGTCAGAACAGTGTCGAGAACCTGCTTCAGGCCATAGGCAAGCTCTACACCCTCCACGTGCCGATCGACTTCAAGTCCCTCGTGCCGGCGGGCTCGGTAATCTCAGATCTCCCTCGGTACCCTTGGGATCACAGCCGCCGGTTCTGGTTCGAGTCCCGCGTCGCCAAGGCATGGCGCGAGCGGGAATATGCAGACCACACCCTGCTCGGCGCGCGGGTGCCTGAGAGCACGGATCTGGAGCCCGTTTGGCGGAACTTCCTGAGCGTGGAGACGACGCCGTGGGTGGTCGACCACAAGATCGGGGAGTCGATCGTGTTCCCGTTCGCGGGGTACGTGTCGATCGCCGGTGAAGCGGCGCGCCAGGTCAGTGGGATTGATGATGGAGTCAGTTTTAAGGACGTGGCCGTGAACACGGCGCTGGTACTCGACGAGGAGGCTCCCACCGAGATCGTGACTACTCTGCGCAAGCACCGCTTGACCGACACGCTGAGCAGCGAGTGGTGGGAGTTCAACGTCTCCTCCTACAATGGCCATTCCTGGACGAAGCACTGCTCAGGCCAGGTCCGTGGCGAGGCGCTACCGTACACGGCACTGGAACAAGATGACGGCCAGGACTTGGTTGAAGAGGAACCACCACTACCGCGCAAGACCGAGAGGCGACCCCGCTGCTGGCGGAGATCTACGAGCGAACCCACGGGTCGAAGGAGGACAATAAACGGACCGCCTCCCACCCGGCACTCAGCATTCAGCGCTTGATCGACATACCGGTCTATCGGGTGCCTGCCGCGCCTTGAACCACCGTCACGAAAGATGACGAGCTAGTGTCCCATCTGATCTCGCTGTGGCTGACCTGGAGTCATCCGTTCTACAACTGGATTGATAAAGAGCTCTTTCTCCGTGACGCGCAAGCGGGCAAGCTGGACTCGAAGTTCTGCTCGCCATTCCTGGTGAACTGTATTCTGGCCGAAGCATGCGTACGATGATCCATGGTACTTCTTCTTTTGACTTGGTTTTTGGTGGACTAATGACTCGTGGAAACAGTTTCACTCGGACTACCCGGACGCGTATGCAGACCCCAACGACCCAGATTCCAAGGGACGTTCATTTCTACAAAGAGGCGCGACGGCTCTATGAGAAGATCGAAGGTCGACTCGATTTACCAACCATGCAGGGGTGCGGCGTTTTGTTTGTCTGGTGAGTATGATCGCCCCATGAAACTGTAGAAGACCAGTGTACTAATAGATTGATCCCATAGCATGGCGGCGATGGGCAAAGACCGTGTGGGGTGGTTGTACCTCGGCCACCTGCGCAGTATGGCAGATGATTATACCCAAGAAGCACCCGCCGCCGCCCGCCGGAGTGACTCCATCCAGGGAAAGCCGGGCGATTGATAATACCATCTTGGGGATCTACAATCTTACCGCGTGCGTTCACTCTCCAAACATGATTTCTCGTGACCGGTCACAACTGACATTCGTCCCAGGACCGCTTCGATCTCGCTAATGAAGCATTTGGCGATTGACCGGCCGAATCGACCCCTGCTTCCATGCGACCATCCCGCCGACGACACCTGGACGCCGTACCCGCGCCAAATGGATCCGGTTCAATCCCACATCACCTGCGTGCTGAACAGCTTCTGCGCGCTGAGCGAGATCAACGTCGATGCCAACCGCAAGGTCTTTGCGAGTGGGCACAAGCCCCCTCGGGACGAGCTGGAACAGACCCTGCAAGACGTGCAAACCCGACTCGATGACTGGAAGAGCAAACTACCTCCATGCCTGGCCCGGGAGAACCTGAGCGTCCCGCAATCGCTAAGCTTACAGTAAGCGGCCCCTACCTCTTTCGACATCCCCCACCACACACCAACACTAACCCACCTTTTCCCCGGGGATACAGCAGATCGTCGACCTGCTGCGCAGGCACCGCGCCACCTGGGGGCCGGACTACATCTCGCCGACGACGATCCACTGGGTCAGCATGGCGCTGTTCACGCTGGTCGAGGAGCTGGATCACGGCGCCGACCGCCGCACCGCCTTCACGGAGCTGTGCGTCATCGTCCGCACCTTTCGCCCGCAAGTGGACCCTCATGAAGGGCATCCTGCGCATGCTGCAGGTCTCGGCGCAGAACGATGGCGTCGCGCTGCCGTCCGAGATCCACGCCCTCTTCGTCGACTTCTCCGAGAAGATGTGGGGCCCCGCCCAGCGCGAGCGGTTCCGCAGTCTGTATCCGAATCCGAGCGCGTTGGCGGAGACCGGTGGCGACCGCACGAGGGAGGAGGAGAAGTTGGATAACTTTCTGGAGAAGTGGGATACTCTTGAGATTCGGGAGGAGCGGCGGGGCTAGGTCGGTGGAATGGACTTACGGCTACATGGAGGGAAAAGTCATCTCGGTAAACTTCAGCCTCTCTTCATGCTACATAGATCATAGATACGTTGTTGAGGTAATCCCCTGAACAGATTGGAGGGCTCATCATCAACACCTAAATCGTGCCATTCTTGGACAGAAAGCACCGCTCTACCGAAGCTACTGCTACCCCCTCCCTCACAGCATCTCCTTCGGCCCTTTCTCCCGCACCGACACCTTCACCAGAAAATCCAACGGCTTCACAAACCACTTGTTATCCGTGTCCCACGTGCGGTTGACGAGCTCGAAGTTGAAATCCCGGACCATCTGCGGGATCAGCTTCGACATCTCCAGGATGGAGATGTGCTTCCCGAGACATGTGCGCGAGCCCAGGCCGAACTAGCATTGCATCCGACATCAGTCATTAGTCCGATCACCTCGGCGAAATGGGGAAAGGCTTACAGGCATGTACATCTCATTCATCAGCTGCAACCGCGCTGGATCCCCGTTCTCCGCCTCGATCCACCGTTCGGGCCGGAAGCTCCGCGCATCGGGGAACACTCCCTCGTCGTAATGCGCGACCCAGGTGTTCACGCCCACGACACTCCCCTCTGGGAAACGGTACCCGCTGATCTCGGCCCCGCCGGCCGGCACCTCGCGCCACAGCGGCAGGCCTGTCGCGCTGTGCAGTCGGATCGCCTCCTTCATGACTGCCTGCAGGTACGGCATGGCCTGGCTTTCTTTGAAGGTCACGCGGGCGCTGCAGCGGTTTTGGGCCGTGAAGTCATCGATCTCCTGACGTAGACGCGCTAGCGTGGCCAGGTTGCGTAGGAGGTGGTACAGAATGGCGGACAGGCTGATGGCGGTGGTGTCGGAGCCGGCGATGATGTTGGAGTTGCCCATCATGAAGAGGTGGTAGTCCGTGACTTTCTCGGGGTCTTTGTCGCGGGCCAGGGCCATCTTTTCGAGGAAGTCTTGCGTTTTGAGCGGGGTGGTGGTGGTGGTTTCGTCTTTTGGTGTGTTGGTCTTGCGTTGCTCGTTCAGTTGTTGGATCTTGGCGGCGACGTATCGCATCACAAAAGATCGGCCGGCCGGTCCGGTGGAGGTGAAGCGGCTGAGCGGTTCGTAGACGCGGGGGTGCCATTCCGGGTAGATGCCGATCAGCGTGCTGTAGGCCATGACTTTCTGGAGGGCGCCGATTGCGCCTTCGATGTCTTCGCCTTTGTCGAGGAAGCCTTGTAGTTCTCTGGGTTAGTGGTTGTATGACTGGAATAGGATGGAGGGCGTACCGAAGCGCTGGCCGAAGGTGATGTCCCCGATCACGTCGAAGGCGTAACATTGCAGCCAGTGGTGAAGGTCGACGGTTTGTCCGCTCCGCGCGAACTCGGTGAGCCGGTCGCGGAAGATGTCGGCGCATTGGTCGGCGAATTCTTCGTAGTGGAGGAGGGAGCTCATCGAGTAGAGGCTGGAGAATCGCTTGCGGGTTTCGGCTTGAGGGGGTCCACCGCTTTAGCAGAGATCTCCTTGAGCCATTTCACATTAGACCAGGTAGTACGTACAGTGTCTCTTGATGTTGCGATCCGGGAACAGAGTCCACCGATCAGGCGACGGATGCTTCCAGCCCTCGTACCAGGCGGACTTGGGGAACCGGCTCCCCGTGCCATAGACCGTCTTCACGGCGGCCCGCTCGCTGATACTGTAGTGGCCCGGGGCGATCCGCACGACGGGGCCGTAGCGCGCATGGAGACTGAGGTTGTCGGCCTCGAAGTGGCCTTTCCAGACTCTACTGAAGTACCAGAGTCGGGTGAACCGGGCGAGAAATGGGCCCGGGATGGACGTCAGGGAGGGACTTTTCCATGTGGTGTAGAGGAGTTGGAGGATGATTTTGGTGAAGTAGATCAGGAGGGGAAGGCAAGCAAGAAGGAGGATATTCATCGTGGCGTGGTTTCTGGGGGATCAAGTGAAGTGCGACGTTGACTGGGAAGCAATGTCATCTTATAAATAATTTGCGGTGTGGAGCCGGCACAGCAGCGAACATCAACCCAACGATTAGTGCTGACACAGCTGATGCAGTCTAAAGTTTAGGGCGTGGCTCGACCTATCATAGGCCTTTGGATGGGCAATATCAGCTCTAAGTTGTGTGTTGTCTCATAAAAAGGGTCAAAGGGTTGAGGCGATGGTGATGATGGCAGGATGGAGAAGATGGAGGTGGGGAGCCGTAGAGTGCGGGGAAAGCCGCATTGTCCCAAGCTTATGTTCGAGCCTGGCCGCATAGCCTCCTTTTATGCTGCTGCTTCCTTCCGATCGTCGGCTCCACCCTGCCTATGAGGGGATTATCCAGATCAATTCATGCACCGGGGTTTATGCTTTACCAGCAGCATTCAGGTACCCCTGCACTCTACTGTACTTGTCATAAAATGTAATCAACTATCGAATCGAATTCAACCCATGACTCCGTACCCACTTTCAGTTTTATACATACATCGATAATGTCATTAGAAGCGCCACGCACATACCACTACCCAGGCAACAGAGAAAAGAAACACGCCAAGAGCCAAGAACAGAGAGGAGCCGTCGCAGCGCACGTTATACCGAGCCACCATGTTTAGAAGAGGCGAAGGATCCCGGACAAAGTCAGCCCTTAAGACCGACGATCACCCCAGAGGCCAACGATCCCCATCGCCAACGCCAGCCCCGAGAAGACCGCGCGCACCTGCTGCAGCCGCCGTTCCGTATTCATCTCCGTCTGCACGCTCTCGCCGTTCTCCTCCGCCTCGACCACCACCAGATCCTCCTCCTTCTTCTGCTGCTTGGGAGCGGCCGCCTGCGTCCAGAACCCGGTGTCGTGCAGCACCGCCTGAAACCAGGCCTTGACGCCCGCCTGGCGGTGGAACCAGAAGTCCATGCCGTAGGTGCCGATGGTCGAGGCGACGCACATCCAGATCAGATAGGGGTGTTTGCGGTGGCGCGGAGAGATGCTGTACGCGAACAGCAGGCACCCGTTGGCGATGTTGGTGAGCCGGATGCCGTGCTTGCGGTTCAGGCGTTTGATCTCGCTCAGCGAGCGCGAGCCGGTCGCCGAGGTCGGGAGTTGGGCCAGCGCGGGGATGGCGATCGTCGAGGCGGAGTACGAGATGCCCTGCGATGGTTGCGTCGTGTCAGTGCAGTGCTACAAGGAGGGGGTGGGTGCATGATGCGACAGCATTCGGGTATTGAGTGGAGGAAAGATTGGATGATCCAAGGCTTCGAGTTGGAGGATAGCGTGGCGATCGCAGCAAACATACCGTGAGCAGGCCCAGGGAGACGGTTCCCACAAACTTGGAAACGGTAATGGGGCACGCCATTTTGATGCTGGTGGGTGTCTATCTGTGTAGACAACAAAAGGCTGTGGAATGGTAAACGAACTGAATCGGATTGAGTTGGCGTGGTGATGAATTGCACCAGGCAGGGTGAAAAAAGCAAAAAACAATGACGGAGTTGCCCGGACCTGCGAGAGTGAGTGACGTTGCGGGTCCGGCCTTGGCGGCCTGAGGCTTATCAGTGCCTGATTAATGCCTGAAGGCCGCACTCTCATTGGCTGATCGGTAGCTCCACACAGCACTTCCTATAATTACAGCATAGCATTGGTAACCGCAGTACTTGGTTCACAAGAAAAATACCTAGATAAGTGATTTGATATGAAGTATTTCCAGATGTGACTAAAGACCTGATCGCGTTATAGAATGTTTCCAGAACAACAAAAAAAGATAACTCAAGCACCCTCAATCTAAGATCGACCCATCAAGTCCGAACCGCTTCTCTGGACGTGATACCAATAGGATCGCCGAGGAACCATTGTGTAAAGGTCTTGAACCCAGCTATGTTGAGGAATCTAAAGTCGTAGGATTTAGTGCGGCGAATCAACAGTTCCTGGCCATCAAAGTATGCCTCCATGACACGCGGATGCCGTTGGTTGAGCGAAAAGAGCAGAACCTATTATCATATATCAGGCTTTTTTGCAATCAGTATGCTAAGACCAATCTAAACATACTGGTGCAACCATATCATTAACAAACATTTTCTGTTTGAGCTGGCCCAACATGATCCGAATGACAGTCAATACTTCCCCGCAAAGCAGATGATTGTCATCTACGTCGAGGTCGTTGTGCATGATACATTTATTTCACATGCGGCTTGGAGGCCTTAGCAACATGAAGTATCGATAAGGTGCCATATTCAGGTTCCAACGTCCGGTACAAATTGCGAATATTGGATTCACCGATCCTGGTGACACGGAATGGATGAGTAAACAGAGGCCCAAACATGGGGTACCTTTGGTACTAGGGGCATACTGTTTGCTTGACCACGTTCGATGGACCTCTGGAAAGTCGACAATCATTTCGCTCACGTATGACTTAAGATAAAAGTATATCAGTCGTCCGCGCTCACTGGACAGGGTCAGCTCGTCGGTGTTGTATTCTCTGTCGACAAATTCTGGCGTTGGCTCCGGCATGTCACTAGGGGCAAAAGAAGTGAAAAACTTTGGTGCGAGCGAGTCACCAGCATCAAGGCTTAGAGGCAAAGCCCGAACTCTGCACCGTGTCAGCACACTTTGGTCTAAGGTATGTATCTCCTGCTTTTCCAGGGCTTTGATGTCCCTTTCGACAAGGAGGAGTGCTTTACGGAGATTGAAGCGGTCGCGGGGCTCGGCGATGGGCTCCATGACCGCGATCTATGAGATGGATATGATGCAACGATGAGAGTCACAGGAGTTCTGGAGCAGCGGCTGTCTAGTCTGGTTGATACAAGTCAAGGATCTACAGTCTTGAATGCCCGAAATGCGCGGGTCTGCGAAAGTGACGTTGCGCTTGGCGGCCTGAGGCTACCATACGCCTTCTTGATGCCTGAACGCGGTACTCTAATGAGATGGTGAACAATGTTCCTCTATATAGTACTTCCTATGCGGCACAGCATAATATCTGAAGTTTAGTACTACTATACGGCAGGTGGAGATAATGTCTAGATAGGTAATGTCCAGATACTTGACCTCCCATACAAAGTCTCATTACGCTGGATCCTGCTAGGGTCGACCACTTGAGCGGATTGCGAACGCCAAGAAGTGGTCATTCCTTGACTATACAAAGGCAGATGATATTCTTGGTATCGACAGGACTCTCTCGTCAATAGATTTGTGGTGCTGAGCTATACGTGCTTACTTTTCCGGTGTATGTCCTGCTAATCTTGATTTATCAGCAGTCTTGCCCGAGTTCCACTTTCAAACTATAAAAGCCGCAATATAAGCACCGAGTCTGCGGCAGTCGAGTTTACTCTTCTTTTACAACCGTGCTCTCTGAGCTCCTGTATCTATCCAAATTCGAATTCCATGATGTCGTCTCTCCCTGAGACTTATCAAGCGTTCCGCCGAACAGAAGGCACTGCACCCTTGACAATCGAGCAGGTCACAGAAAAGCTTCCGCCCATTGAGTCGCACGATGTCCTAGTTCGCATCCATGCAGTCTCGCTCAACTACCGCGACATCGCCATGCTGGATAACACTTATCCGCAACCTTGCCTTCCCCGCGGAATTCCCGCCTCGGATTGTGCCGCCGAGGTTGTATCCGTCGGATCTGCTGTCAGTGGCTTCAAGCCAGGCGACCGTGTTACCGCAATCTGGGACCTGACCAACGTGACCGGAACCGAGGAGCGGGCCCCAGAGGCTCTTGGTGGGGATGTTGATGGTGTATTGCGACAGTATGCCGTGTTCAATGAACAGGTGCTTGTGCACTTGCCTGAGCACCTGTCCTGGGAAGAGGTAGGTCACCGCAGATTGGGACCAAGGTCGAACATGTTTGTAATGTTGATATAGGCATCTTGCATCACTTGTGCCGGAACCACGGCTTGGAACGCTCTTGAATTCCCTAGAAACAGTGGCACAGCTCTGCTCCAAGGTAAGCGGCCCTTCCAATGGGAGGTTTCAAGAAGCACAGGCTAGATACTGATTGAAATGTCCAGGCACCGGTGGTGTGAGCATGTTCGCGCTTCTGCTCTGTATTGCAGCGGGCTTGCAGTCCATCATCACCTCATCTTCCAATGAGAAACTTGATCAGGCTCGGTCGTTGGGCCCCAACATCAAGACCATCAATTACAAGAAGGTGGACAAGTGGGAAGACGAAGTGCTCCGTCTTACCAACGGTCGCGGTGCTGATGTCGCTATTGAGAACGTGGGCCCTGCCACCGTGCGGCAGAGTCTTGCCTCTCTTGCCCAGCGGGGTACCTTATCCTTGGTGGGATTCCTTGGAGGACTCGAGGCGAAAGAATTCCCCGATCTGTATCTCCCTGTCATGGTCAAGCGAGTGACTATGAGGTTCGTTCCCCCTCCCTTACATGTATGAGGATGGGTTCTGATGCAGATGCTTATTCCAGGGGTATCGTTGTGGGTTCCAAGCTCGATCAACAGGCTTTGTGTGACTTTTTGACGGAAAAGAAGGTATCCCTCAAGCCTTTGATTGACGCTGTCTTTCCATTTGATCAGTCCAAGGAGGCTTTTGCTCGCCTCAAGTCTGGAAAGCACCAGGGAAAAATTGTCATTACCCTCTAGGATGTGAGATGTAGTGAAATGTAGCGAAGGATCTTGTGAATGAGCTATTCCAGGGCGTTCCTGAGCATGAGTATCAGGTGGACCTCTTGAATCCAAGCGCAGATGTAGGGTGTGTTGCGTCTACTTAGGCAGTAGTATTCAGGTAAGTACCTAGCCTGAGGTCGAGTGGGCTTACCACTTTAGGCAATTGCCCCCTCTCACTGCACCTCTACCCGTGACCGAGGACGGTTCCAACTCTTCAAGGTTCCATGCTTCCGGTCCGTTTCCGCTTCATCTCCACTATTCTCTCTCTGCCCACTGCTCAATCATCATCATCATCATCATCATCTACTTGATGTCTACCATTCGTAATCTTGCTCCCCTTCCCAGTCATCGTCTTCCATTTCTCTCGTGTCGGTAACGGAGGGTGTTGATGGTCTCGAGATGCCTGCTGCGACCGACCGATCGGAAATCATGTGCAGCGACAGGTACTGAGAGCTCAAGGTAATGTGCTGCTCCAAATCAACTTGCTGGCGTAATCGCTTAGTGCTCTGGTCTGCATTCGTCATCAATATCTTGAAGTGAGCTCTCAGCGAGTCATCCTGTACAATCGCACGTAAGTATTCGATGACGGTCGTCAGTTCCTGGAAGCTCATGTGGAGGTCTTTATCAAAGCAACACACCGCATCGATGATGCAGTATACGGTTACATCTGAGGGGAACTGGCGAGCTAGTTGATGCAACAACACACAGAGCTTGCCCAAATCATGTTCTTCCAGCTGCTTGAGCAAGGCTCTTGAGTTTATGAACTCAATGCTCAGAAGGCCCCGTCGACGCAAGATCAGTAGAAGTTGACAGACGAGACTGCGAACCAGCCCGTTTGGTCCAGCCCAATGGTCCTTCGATGACTTGGTACAATGCAATCCGCAGAAGAAGTGTATTACCACATCCTCCGGTCGCACTTCCGCCATGCTCAACACAAAAGTTGCACAGAAGACGGAGATAGGAGTGACGTTGTGGAGTGCAAAGGATCGGAGGTTCGCATCAACAAGGAGCAGGTCTGGGTGTTCTCGATTCATCCATTCCACGAAACAAACATTTCGCAACACGGACTGTGCCTGGCTTTGCGTCTGTGCGTCGAATGTTATGTTCTTTCCTAGAACAATCTCCAAATCGTCATTGGGCTGCCCGAATGCTGCACCGTAATCAGGCGGCTGGCCTCCATTTGAGGGCGATTGAACCAGAACTTCCAAGAGCCGAGAGAGGGAGACTACTGCCGCGGAGCTTCGTTCATCCCTGCGAAGAGAGCCTTCAGTCTCGGCCATATAAAGACGTTGCTGAAGTTGTAAGTTCAAGCTCCTCTCTTCTACGTATTGCAGTCAGCTTCTGAATCAGGTCAGCTTGACAAGAATCGCTTACTCCTCCAATCCTCGAGCAAGAATTGCAGCATCTGGTTCCTAGCATCCTGGCTGTTACCCATCATCCGTGATTGGGTCTCTATGAAATGGTTCAACCTCTCCTCCTCTCTTCGAATCAATTGGATGATCTCGAGGTGCCGTTTCTCCCCGGCCTCAATCCCCGTCTTGACCTCTCTGACATTGATTGAGACGTTTTGTAGGATACCGTCCGTGTTCTGAGCGAACCTTTGGACCTCAGTCAATCCTCCGGATATCTCCTCGATTCCGCTCTTCACAACCTGCACGTCAGCATTAATTTGGCGTGTGTTGATCTCTGTTTCCTTTTGGGTCCAACGCATGACATGAACCTCGTGATGTGTATCCCTTGAATAGCGCTCGATCGCTTCTATATGCGTGTCTCGACATCTCTCAGCAGCGAGTGAGAGCATATCCGAAGCTTCTTTGACTCGCTGTAATGCTTGTTCTGGAAATTCATCATGCCTTCGAACTTTGGAGTTCGATGTTATTCGGAAATGCCTCTTTTCTTCCACGGTCCCGTTGCGATCCAGATGGCTTTTTGCAGGCAGAGAATTGAGAATAATCTCGATCGCATCGACGATGGCAATGTAGAGATCCTTTGTGTGCTGGCTCGCTTCCGGATCAGTATGGAAACTTCGCCGTTTGCGCTTCACTTCCACGATAGCGCGTTGGAGTTCATGAAATGTGGTGATTATTCTCTGCCTTCTTTCTGCCGACTTTGCTGCCAACTATATCAAAGAGTCAGCTGTGTACAGATTACATCTCATTATCTTACCTCCACGCCAGACTTACATTCAATGCAACCGCGATCCCAACTTTCACAACAGCTAGTCCGTAGCTGTCAGGGATGATATTAATCCAGGGATCGATCAGTTCCCGATTCTCTCCAACCTTCAGCCATGCCTTAGCGAAGATTGCACGCGCTCCTCTCTCTTTGGCGGGTTGCCAGTCCCTTTCAGCCTCCGTGACTCTGTCGAAGATTGCCTCCCATGCTGAACAATCCTCCGGCTTTGCTCCAAGGATTCTTTGAACGTGCTCTTTGAGTACAGCCTCTAAGTTTCTATACCGATGTTATTTCTGAACCTTGCTCACCGGAACTCTTGCCACGGGCCCTGTTCAAAGATGTGCAGTTTAAGTTCCTTTAACCTTTAACGCCGATCAGAAAAGAAATATGCCTACCTGTACGGTTTCGCACTCTCAAACTGAGCTCGCTGGTCATTATATTCCGACCAACCTCCAAGACCTTGGTGCACCTTCACCCCCTCGTCGCTAATAAATTTCGCTGACGTTGCGGCTGCCGCGTCGCCAGCTCGATAATGACTTGCTTCCATAGCAAAGTACTAGGGTAAGAAGTAGTTCTGATTTGCTTTGACGCTCATAGGGACTAACAGAACACTATAGAGTCAAAAGATGGGGTGAGCTCGCTTTCAATGCAGAAGACAGCAGCGGGCTCAGCTTCTTGGCGCTCCGATCCTTCAGGGTACAGCCACGAGCAAGGCGGACTCTATTCTGGTTGACCGACTGACTAATTCGGCCTGTAGCTGCCTTGTTCTCTGCGACTAGGTCTTCACATCTCAAATAGTCATTGGATGGAAGATAATTCAGAGAAGGGATTGTCGTGTGAGTTGCGGTTGATTAAGACACCAACGCGAGAGTGCGGGGGAAATCGTCCCAGCCTTGCCGTCGGTTTGCTCAAGTCACGCTTGGCCACCTTTAATGTGGCATTTAAGGGGCGTAGGCGCTTACGCCTCGTATTCAGTGATTCGAGTGATAAATTCTAGCATCGAAAGCCGCCGTGGTCTTTTTTTCTTTCTTATTGTCCGAACGTGCACTTTTCTCGCCCAGAAACTTTGTTCTACAGTCCTGATTTCACCTGCCCTGCCACAGATGGATACTCTTCTTGTGTCGGAGAAGCCTCCACCACTAAGATTTGACCCAAGCGACGGAAATGTCGTGAAGCATAAGCAGGACCTCAAAGAAGAGGTCGTAGGGACTCGACAGATTTCCGGCAAGCCCAATGATATCGCAGAGCGCAGTCCTGACTTACCGGCGCCACGTATCAATGCCAGCGACCAAGCAGAACATCCTGTGTCGGTGACAAGAGACATTCCAAATCCAGATCCTGACAGTACGCCATACGATAATGCCAGGAGCAACGAACGATATAACAGTATAGGGGCGTTACCGGATCAAGACGACTGGCAGGACAAAATCAAAAGTTTGCCCAGAATCCCCGCTGTCAAAATGATGAACTTTGACCAGTTCAAGAATCGGCATGGACTGGAGAATGGCGTCCACATCATTGAAGTTCTCCGGGCCGGGTCGGGTACGAGAAACGAGATAAACAACTCGCAATTGGAACACACCAGACAGGCACAGGGCCATACCGCAGAGAGCCCTGATCTACAGGGAACCTGGATTCAGCGGGTTCGAATCCAGTCGGAGCCCATCACGCGGTACATTCAATATGTGGCGGGCGCCAGTGGCATGGATGTCACGCGGCCATGGACTTTCTTTCGGCCATTTCACTTTTTCATTGTGTTTCGCTCAAAGATGAAAGAAGCACTCGAGAATTTGGAAGAGACATGGGCTTACGCCGAGAGGCTGGAGTCTTCTGGTCTGAAGCAAACGGCAATAGTGACAAGGGAGACACCGCCGGTTCAGGACAAGAAGGCTGGTGATGAGACGGATGAAAAGAAAGAAGCGGAGATGGATCCCACTGGCCCGGAGATGAGCAGTATCACCGCGTTGAGACATATGCGCTGCTATGTAGAATTTGTGGATAAGGAGATATATCCCCTATTCGAGCGCTTGAGAGGATCAACACCACAAAAGATCCGCTTCGGTGATCTTTGGTTGCTTCTTAAATATGACGAAATGCTTTACTCTCCGCCCGAGGGAGAGGAGTCTCAGAGCTCGAGCCAGCCGATATCACCAAGATCAAAGTCGATGACTCAAACCGCCTGGAAACTGTGTGGAGAATGGATTCCTACCCCCAAAGATGGACATCCAAACGACCTTGGTGAAGAATCCCAAGAGTACCAAGCAATCTGCTACCATGTTGACCACGACGGTGAATCATACGGAGCAGTCAAGCACGTCTTCAAGATTCAGTACTTCGAAGGAGAGAGGGATATCACGTCGCTGCCTGTTTACCCGCTGCGGTTTGCAAAGGACTCCGAGCAGATCTTTGCGCGTCTAAAAGCACAAGGCGAGAGATTCCAATCACTGATTCATGAGCGACACCTGCGTTATGAGGGGTGGACGGTCATCAACACTCCTACCGGAAAACTGATGACGGACTTCAAGACACCAGAGCACATCGAGAGTGAGGTGATCATTGACTTGGCCGAGGGATACCAGCGGTACCCGGCATGCAAGCCCGAGTTTGTCAGATATTACCTGGACTCAGACTTTTGGTCACTGGGCGAAGATAATATCGAAATCAAACACTGGTCTGATGCGAAACGTACAAGGTTACTTCATTCCACCAAGGAGAGATTGGTTCTTGGAGACTGCTCATTCAACCGAAATTTCAACAATTGGCTGAAGAGTCAACCATCCTTCCAAATCGGTCTCGACACG